GTCTATTGGGCCTTTATTTCCTTCACGCCGGTAGTGCAACGTATGCCATGTTTCCTCGTCAACCTTTCCTCGCATGGGTAGAGAACAACCGCGATAAGAGTCAGGACCATCTGATGCTCCTATATTCCGTCCTTGCGATGGGCTCTCTCTTCTCGACTGGTGAGGACAGGGGAGCTCTAGGGAAAAATTTTACTGCTGTCGCTTCATACGCAGCAGAAAAACGGTTCGGCAAATTCAGTCTGCAGTTGTGCCAAACTCGACTGATGCTTGCGCTCTACAACTTCGCTAGAGGCAAGTCACAGGAGGCATGGGATTATTGCGGTGCTGGTTTGAGAGCGCTTATTGCATTGAAATTGAACTCTGAAGAAGGTGTTAAAGAGCTGGCCGATAGCAACGCCGATCTGGACTATGGATTTGATCCTCAAACCTACGCAGAATGCTGCCGCCGCACTTTCTGGTCCGGATTCCTGATGGATGTAAGTCACGATATCGTGGATACTCCAACATCCGTTGACGTGTTGCAACAACAGCGATACAATGGTTTCTTTGGAGGAACTCCGTTTGTGATCAACCTGGAGGATGCCTTCGTTAAACTTCCATGCCTGGATAGCATGTACGACGCATCAACACCGTGCGATGCACCATTCTTCGACGAGGAACTTCTGAGCGCAAGCGCTCTACCCCATTCTGTTCTAGGGAATACGGCATACCTATGCCTAATATCGGCACTATGGGGTGACGTGCTTACCTTTACGAGTCGTGCTGCGCGCCGCCCGGACAGTGCCTACGAACAACACTATGACATCTTCTATACAAAGATGAACGAAAAACTGAACGCCTGGCATGATATGTTGCCAGAGAACCTTCATTACACCCCACAGAACCTGGACAAAGGCCATGCTGATGGATACGCGGGCACACTTTTGTCGATGCACGCTTTGTATTACGCTACATCCATCCGACTCAATCGTCAGGTGAGAGTTAACGCACTGCCAGTGGACAAAATACGCCGAAATCTGGAGCGGGCAATACGTATGGCGTCTAACTTCTTATCGATGATGCTTTCACAAGCCCCCGTCAACCGCCACCGACGTCCTCCACCCACCGTCGCACCAGAATCCTCTATCTCGACACCTTTCCCTGGATACGTGCTCATGCTTTCGGTTGATGTATTGACGTCTGCGGGGCTCGTTTCGTCACTACCGACCTTCATCGAGACACTCAATACGACACTGACGTGCATCAACGAATTGACGGGCTTTTGGGCGTCTGCAAAGGCGCAGCAGAAGATGATCTCAAATCGCATCAAACAGCTGACGGAAATTGCCGCACAAGAAGGCCAAGGTACAAGAAACGGAAATTACGGGAAATTCTGGAGGATCAGCAACAGTTTAGAGACGGCATTCGGAAACGATGATGCGCTGTACAAGACCGAAGATCAATTGCTTTTCGGAGTTGTTGGTCAGCTTACCGGTCAGTGACTGCTTGCCCCGCATAAGATCGCTATGCAACGAATAGAACCGCGGACAATACCTCTCTTGTTCAACAGCATCAAGTGTGCATGCACTGTTCGTGTTTGTCTTGGATCTGAGGCTCTGACATAGCGTTACACGTTGCATAAACCTCGGCCCGATCTCCAAAACCGCCTCACCTGGTCGACGTGTCCAGCACAAGCACGAGTCCGCATTAACAGAAACATGGATCCGTGGGAATAGGAGAGCTATCTAGTGGGTTACCACGTTCCTGGCACACGTTGAGGCATGGACGATATCCGCATGCCATCCTACACCTCCGCTATGGCTAAAAGTTGTAGAACCGCTATCACTTTGTACTAGTACTATTTCCAAAAGCTCTGCCCGAAGTTTGGGCATTGGCAGCGACTTCGGTCTATAATTGGAATACGCGATATCAGTTTTCTCATTTTAGCACTTCGATTCTCGAGCATTATATCATGGAGCAGCTTTATACTATTACCATATACCAAAACATGTACGGATAATGAATAGCGAGTTTCACAAGCATATGACAAAAACACACAGATTGCCTATCCCTGCAGGTCCGAGAAACCATGTCACGCTTATCGTGAGACAACATGATCGAGCTTTGCTGCAGTACACCCTCACACAGCACGTTCGCGTTCTCCACTAAGAAGTACCCGTACCTTGCACCTCGGGTGCTACACTTACGCCGTGACCGCAATAAGCAAGCAGCAAGACTAGGTTGAGCCATGCGGGGACACGGGAGTTTCCAAGCCACGTTGTCTGGAAAAACGCCTAAAGATCAGGTGTGTGTGACCCGTAACTCGACGCTTATCGTGCTCTCCTCTCAGCTCTGTTCAATCTATGGTTCACACCACTACGGGAACGCCTTCGGTCCACATCAACAACCAACAAGAGCAGACAAAATCGCTCAGGTGCAAAACCTCCGCGGATCGATGGTCGATAATTGACTGGTTGAGTGGTATACAGCAAGGAGGCAATCATGACGACATCACACGCGTTCAACTACCGATCATCATTGGTACCGATGTGCACTGCCCAGGTGTGTGGCACTGAAGCCGCGATGCATGCCGTGTGATCACATTACTGCCTATACGACGTTGACTGTGAGTCGCCGGGGATTTGGGTGCGAAGGAGTAATAAGCAGTAGTAGTGCGCCCCCGCTAAAGGACGCGTAGCTAGCAAAAGTCCACGACTACCGATAGCACGGACAAGTACCGGTGCGCTGTTCACAGGCGCAAACGCGACCCTCCGGCTGATAGCCCGTAGCTAAAGATTTGGCGTACCAACTCCCGCTTTAGACTGTCGGCACCTGCCAGCGCATGCGCGCGAACAAGCAAGTAAGCTCATCGTCTCCTCTTTGTCCGAATAGGAGAAGCAAAACACTGGAGTCGAAATAGAGCGAAAGTTTATTTTTCGAACAACTTGGATCATTGCGGCATGACATAATCTACCTGGGCAGCCACCATGAGTGTGACCACTGACCAGGTAACCTAACTTGAAGTCCCAAACTTTCATCCTAGCTTGACACCCTTATTCTACGACTACCGAGCAAAACGCAAGCCTACCTACCAAGTACCCCGAACCTCAGCTTCCGGAATTTGTCAGCAAAGCTTACGGCACGGTAGATTTTCAAATGTCCGGTCCGACTTCTGTACGTTCTATGCCGTTCCGGCTCATGATTTTCCAAGCATCGTGAACTTCTGCCCCCGAAATACCTCCTACTGCATAAGGTTCACCTGGGCAGCGTTGGCTATTTTGCACGTGCGCACCTTCCGCTCCGGGCTAGAAGTTACAGCTAGAGCAAGGACAAAACATGGACAAGAATCACCTCACCATGATGGCGCTTGCGAGAAGCACCGCCCTATTTTCTTGTCCTCCTCCACAGTCTGAGGGGTGTATTAGCCCTAAGTTCTTCCTGCTATTTGCATACAACGTTAGTAATCAACGGTACGGCGCGATAGCGGTTAGACACCGTGCTTGAATGCCATATTCGAACATCTGTGCTACGAAGCGCTTCTCGGAGATTAGAAAATTTAAACACACTTCTGATGACCGAGACGAGCCGAGGCTGTTCACTTAGAACTGCAACTACCGTCTCTCAAGTGGGGACAGTGGGGACAGGCAACGTTGGAGGAGTACAGGGCGATTGGATGGCGGGCAGGATCCCCGAATATCATTTTTAAAGCAGCGGCTTGTAAGCTCTCAAAATTCTAAGTAAGCACGTAGTGAAGGAATCATACGATGTCCAGGGATGAGGTTGCTGCCGATAAAGGAAAAGCGATCTTCTTGTTGAATGACGAAATGCGTAGCCTCGGCATACTCTCGAGCGTAGTAGCGAGAGATGATGTTTGCTGTAGGAGTTGAGAGCGATTAGATGGCAGTGCTAGGCCATTCGGGATGAAGTTGCCGAAGTCGATGCCTGAGCAGATACCATGTCGTAGTAGAGAAGTCACGCTTTATGCCACAACAAAGTGGCTATACCCAAACTCACGGTACCAGATCAGGTATGACACCAACATGCATACCAGGCTGATTCCAACTCGAAGTCAGAATAGAAGCCGAATAGAAGCAAGATTTCTGATAGCTAAACCCAGTTGGTGGAAATCCATTCCTAGACGTGTGAACATGAGTATGTTTGCGCGCTACCGCAACACAACATAAGTCATTTTCGCTTATCGGAATGAAGAGACCGACTACGGCACGTAGTAAGTCCGTAGATGCGCCTTCTCGCCGGATCTTTGGTGTTTTAGAATTACAAGGTCAACTTCCTTGGCTGCATATCTCCCGGAACTCTGCTTGGGTTTTGCTATATCCACCCCAAAGTAAAGGAGTATCTCAAGAGAGGATAGGAAGTCTCTTGCTTAGCATCCCTTGTCACAAGAGAGCATGCTATACCTCTTCCTAGCTTTTCGTTACTAACAAGAATCAAGGAATATTGTAGAAGAATGTTCTAGCTTAGGTGAGATGGTAAGTTTAATCTTTGGTGCTAGGTTTAAAACAGGGTTGTAAGGAAAGTCGCCGAGAAGGCCTAAGCACATCAAAGTCCATAGCAATCATTTGGAAACGCAACAATTCAAAAGGAGCAACCCACCCATGTCCTAATGCCCCCCTAGTACTTATGGTAGTAATGGTCAAGTTGAATCGTTATCACCGCTAATATACAACATGATTGGCGCGAGACAGGTACGCCACGACTTGAAAGGACAACGCGTTGTTTTGTCAAAGCGAACAAGCTAGCTAACTAGCTACGAACATTTCACACCACAGCTTTACAGTATGAACAAAGATCGAGGGCGACAGGGTGCATATGAATCGAAGAAGAAAAGATGAAGAAAAGAACTCAACAAATGAGAGAGGAATCGACAGAGGAAAGGAACAGACCAAGTCTTTAGTATGGCAAAATGTGCCTCATTGCTGCCATGTTCACAGGTAGCAAGTGGTATCATAAGCAAGTTCAAAATGGAAAGTTTTAATTGTTGGCCATAGAGGATAGCCAGACTATAGATTGTTATCTGTCTTGAATTTATCCCACGCCTCGTTTAATGTGGCAAAGACAGCTGCACTAATCATCTTCTGCTCAGTAGTTGCTGTTTGAGATATCTGTAGCGGAACTTGGTTAGCATTCTGCCCGTTTGTGAAATCTCTTCAAGTGCGATAATAAAAAAGTGGGAAAGGAGAAGTTAAAGGACGTACCTTATCAGGATGGACCTTGGCAATAGCCTTCATATAGATAATCTTGACCTTATTCGGCATGACCAGATCGCCCATGTTGACCTTCTTCCATCCAGCATCCTCCCAAAGCACTTTATCCAAACTACCCAGTAAAGCACGTAGGTTGTCTGACTTGGTGCCCTTCCAAGCGATGAGCTTGGCATCGACTTGATCGGTCAGGGCGAACTTCTCGTCGTCTGCACGTTCAGCAGCAGCGTTGGCGGCTTTCATGCGCTTGACGGCTTCGGAGTCGATGGCTGGACCACCACCTAGGTCTGACATGGCGGAGGGCCTAGGAGCAGCGGGCTTACGGGCTGGAGGTGGGCGTTTGGTGGCTGCTGGCGCATTGTTGTTGCCGCCATTTGCGGCTTTCTCACAGCGGTTTCGACCAGAGATGGCGATGGCGCCGCCTACACCATTTTGAACAGCCTCTTTCCATACACCATGTGCATCTGCCCACTTCTCCATATTCTCCAGTGCTTCTGCTTTTCGCATGAGGGCTTTACCGTAGAATTCCTTCATGTCTTTTTCGCCCTCCATTCCACCTGTAGCGATCTTCTCGCCTTCTCCTCTCGATATACCGATAATAGCCAAGGCTGCATCGGCATCAGCAATTGCTGCTTTCGGGTCGCCAACTTTGATGTTGGTGACTGCGCGATTGCAGAGTACGACGATCGTGACAGGGTGTGTTTTCGGAAGAGGACTCAGTGCAGAAGAATAGGCAGCGTGTGCAGCGGAGTAGTCTCCACGCTTGAATGCCTCTGAACCTCTTTGCCGGTCAGCTGACGACGAACTGAGAGCCGAAGACGAGACAGGAGGGATCTGTCGTGGTGGTGCTTTCGGTCTGGATGCAATTGGTGTAGGCGCTGGATTTCGAGCCTTTGGTGCTGAAGTTGCTTGGAGAAATGGGTTGTTAGACTTTGCTGGTGTCGGTTGGCGTGAAGCCTGCTTTGGGGGCGTAGGTTCTGGAGAGAAGAGATCTACTTCTGGTTGCGGTTGTGGAGTGGTCTTCTTCCGGCGAGCAGGGCTAACGTACGCTTGAGAGCTCTGTTCTTCAACCTCCTGGCGGGTCAGTCGCATCGCTGGTCGTTTATCTAAGCTTGATGGTGGCTGCCGCTGTGATGGAGACTGAGACGACATGCGATCTGGGCGATCGTTTCGCCCAGTTTCCTGCTCTCTTCTTTGGCGTACAGGTAGCGGCTCGGCTTGCTGACGCATCTCGCTCGTCCGAGAAGACTTAGTGGGTCGTCCACCAGCCTCCAGCATCATGGCCTCGTCTGTAGCCGATTGATCAGCCTTCTGTTGTCGACCTGAGCGAGGAGCAGCTTCTGCAGCCTGGGCATCTCTCATCCACTTTGGCATGTTAGGATCGCCCTCTTGCTGAAAGTCGGCCATGGCTTTCTGTACTTGTTTGCGGCCCGTCTTCCATAGTGAATTCGCTGATTTAAAAAGATTGTTGCCGATCTCGGAAGCCATTTGAGTTACGTCTTTCTCTTGACCTTCTTGCCTACGTTGACCAGATCGACTCCGTGCTTCATCGTCTTGCATCCACGCGGGCCTAGAGCTACTCGCCCGCGGTTCTCTTGAAGATTCACGTCCATTGGGCCTACTGTTTCCCCGCCTTGGACGCTCTTCGAACTCATCTGGCTCACGGCGTGACCTATCTTGACTCTGTGAATGTGTTTTCTGTTTCGCCTCTGCATGTGCCTGATTGAGCAGCCATCCCACAGCAGCTTGTACGTCCAGTCCAGACTCAGTAGTCGCTAGTGCAATCGCTGACCTTTCGGCTGGGAATCCCATATCTACTAGCTCAGCAACAGCTTTGTCATGTGCGTTTTCGGGCCCAGACGAAGCCCGTTGGCGTGCTTGTGAAGACTCCTCTGCGGCCGCTGGCTGTAGCGCTTCTTTGTGCTGAAACTCGGAGACAGGCTTTCCTAGCAAGCCTAGTATATCATCATCAGCGTCATTGGTTGGCGGCGGCGCAGGCGAAGTCGACTTTTGCGCCATCTGCTTGAGACCGAACATGTCATCATCGTCGTCCAAAAGTGCATTGTTACCAGAAGTAGGCTGTGGTAGGGGTGTGTTGCCCCGAGAGACATTTGCGCTGTAAGCAGGCGTGCTTCTGCCACTGCCTTGGTTTGGTTTGGGAAAGTGACTTGAGCTGTCTACGGGAGCTGCCGAGTTGAATGCTGCAAGGAGGTCAGCCTCGCTGGGAGAAGATACCTCAGGCCGCCTCGACGTGGTGTCCAGACCTGCGAAAGGCTTGTTGATAGTCTTGGACAGGCCATGGTTGGTGAAGGGATTGTTCGACGGACGCGGGGCGCCAAATGCGGCCGGCTCTGGTGTGCTCTTCCCACTTCCTAACGTGTCCCAATGGCTTGAATCAGCACCCCCGAAGGTGGTATCCCATTGCTTCCTCTTCTCCGCTTCCTGTCGCGCCTTCTCCTCTTGTATCTGTTTCTGCCGCTCTTGTAGCGAGAGGTTGCTTGTCGGGGCTTTGGACTTGTTGGAAGACACGAGACTAGCGAAGCTATCGTTTGCGGGGGTCGCTGCTTTCGAGGGCGGCTTGAACTGCTGAGTACCACCGGAGCCAGCTCCAGTGCCAGACGGTTGCGTAGAGAGCGTGGAGAGGGGCGTGGATCGACCGGACAGTTGAGGCGTGGGGCTCTGGCGGAAGGGTGGAAAGGCCGCGGGGGTGTTGGTCGTTGTCTTTTTGGCGGGCTGCGACCAGTCAAGGCCGGCTAGATCGTCCATTGTATTTGCTTTTGCTGTGTAAGTCGTGTCAAAGAGTGTGCGGGAGAAATCATATCATTATTGCGAGTTGGGTTGTCAAACATCAGTATTGGGTGTATTGACCGCTTCACCATGTGTCTGTCGCGCTTGCGCTTGCTCGGTTCGCGCCACAGGTACCCGCCAGGCATAGCCACAACACGTGACACACATGCAGGGTCCAGGCCATGTCTCAAAAGTGTCTTTGGCATACTTCATCTGACGTCCAAATTGTGGTTTGGTCAGTCTACAGCATACCTACATGGCACCCGCAGTCAATGCCACCGAAATCTTAGAACACGTAAATACGTGGATACGGTGCGATAAGATTGTTCAAATCTCGAAAGCCTCACATGTTTTGCATAACATGGAAACAAGGCTCTTCATTGTGACAGAGGCAAGTAGAGCCGACACATGTCGCATATAAAGTGCTACAGAGCCCCATCTTTGCAGCTCCCGCAGGCACAGACTACAGCTCGGCTTCGGAGCCATGTGCGTTCCTGGACCCCATGCTTGCATCGGTACCTTGCAACGCATTGGTGCGAGCAGTTCCTCCGAGCCGACAAACGTTCCGTATCGATTGCTGGGTAAACAGAAGGTAAACAACCGGTAAAGGATTGTGATTGCGGAGTCGGGCAACAGGCACGAATAGAGAGTGCATGTCCGGATCCACAGCTGTCAGGTTAAGATGCGGTCAGTGGGCTCTGTCGAACCGCGACCGCGGAGATGGTGGCAGTAGCACGTCCTGGCGCGAGCGGACTGTCCCGACTACGCGACCCCCCTGAGGGTCAACGCAAAGCTTTGCAAGGCTTTCTCTCTTCCGCATCGAATCAAGATGGATTGGATCCGTAGTGTCACATCTGACTCGGGCCGAAGGGATGCCTTCATTCATTACTCGTAGGCGGCACGGTAACCGAAGCCGCGAGCCCTTAGTGTCGCTGGGTGGAAAGTAATGGGCCTGTTTTCGGCAGTTGTGCAGAAGGTTGGAAGCAATGGGAAATATTTTTATCAGATTGTGCGTGCAAAGTGTCTTATTAGGCTGATGATAACAGCCAGCTCGTGCCTGGACGGGAGGGCAGTCGATACTCTCGGCGCTCAGGCAACATGGCGGATTTGCCGAGCCGCGAACCCGCGGCCACGGTATCAGACTTGACCACCCGCCAATCCCCGACGTAAGCGATAGGTAGATGACTCAGGTTGTGGGCTTTGGGCAGAGCATTAGTAAAGGGTCTATGTCAGGAGAAGCTATGTGCAAGAATCTAGGTTTGGACGGGTGTGGATAGCGATGCTGATCTTGCAGACAGCAGAGACGACGGAGAAGGGCGTCGTGGGAGAATAGCATAACTGGTAATGAGGTTGCATTTGGTGTATGCACGCTGCCTGCTAGCCTGAAGACGGTCAAGACCGATACCTGGTAGAAGTACTGTGGGTCTAACCACAAGGGGGGTGTGGTGCGTGCCGCAGAGGTCGCAGCTGGAGCGAACGGTTCATAGGTCAGGTACAGAGGCAGCAGCTATGCCTTGAATGGAAGAAACCGCGACCTCGCATCAATAGACGCGACGAGCAGTCGGGACCCTGCAGGGTGGACAGGTGTCGGGAGCGCGTCGAGAAAGGCGCGGGTGTGGGTAGGATATACGTCAGTCGGGCCTCCAGCTGAGTTGCTGTTCAGGAACGGAACAGAACAGGACGACGCTCCAAGGGTTTATTGCTGCGCTACTAGCGTCGTCTATCGTGCCGCCCATTAACGCGGAAGAGCAAGGGGCAGACGGTCGGCGAGACTATGGCTGCCAGGGTGGAGACGACTGTAGTATACAACTGGAGGCGGCGCGTCTGGACCTGCTCCTGCGTCTCTCGCAGCTTTGTCCTCGATTCCTCCTGCAGCTGATTTGCAATTGATGAGTGCGCGGGTGGTGGCTACGCATAGTGTCTACACAAGGTTTCTCCATCGGCACGTGTCGACTCCCTTGCTCCACCAGCGCAGTCGCTTCCGGATTATTTGTCCAGGGATCTCCCAGTAACGGTTCCGCACTGCCAGCAAGCGCAGGCCTCAGGACAGAACGATCGCCGCATTCTCGAGCAACCTCGCCCGACTTGAACGTGCCTTCCTACTTCCCAGCAAACCTCACCACCAAGGCTCCTCTCGCCAGCAAACCTCGCCCTCTGTCGCCGCTGCCTCCAATGCGTCTCTTCAATCGCAAGGGCTCCAAGCCCCAGGTTTCCCCCAACGGCAGCCAGCCAAACAGCTCCAATGGCTCCCTGCGCTCCCCTGGACCCACTCCAAACGGCTCCCGGCCTACCAGCTTCCCAGACGTCCCTCTGCCAAAGGCCCCAGATCCAACTCTCGACCCGGCCGGCTACCTGCGCAGTATCTACGCCGTCCGCGAGCGCTCCAAGCTGGTGCTCGAAAAGGCCAAGAAAAATCAGCTCAAGCACTTCACAGTCGACATGAGCAAGTTTGGAGATGTCGCTAGCTTTGTCGTATCCATAATTAAGGTAAGCCTCATTCTGCGAGCGCAAGGATACCATGTTGGCCGACAGCGCGCTCTAACACTGCCTGCAGCGCGACTATGCGCCTGACTACGCCTCAATTCCGCCTCACGGCCGCTGGCAGCACTTTGATGTTGGTGGCCGCCCGCGCATCGATCAGCTCATGGCAACATGGCCGTCGACCGTCGACAACCAGGAGCGCACTCGCCGCCTCATAGATCTCTTCCTCGTCTCCGTCCTCCTCGATGCAGGTGCAGGCACCAAGTGGCAGTACAAGAGCAAGGAGTCGGGCAAGATCTACCGCCGTAGCGAGGGTCTCGCCGTCGCCAGTCTGGAGATGTTCAAGGCCGGCGCTTTCAGCAGCGACCCCAAAGAACCCTACCAGGTCGACAGTGCGGGGCTGAAGAAGCTCGATGTCGCAACAGTGGCGCGTGGCCTGCAGGTCAACGCCACAAACCCAATCGATGGCCTTGAGGGTCGCACTGGCCTGCTGCTGCGTCTCGCAGAAGCGCTCCAGAACCAAGAAGTTTTTGGCCTCGAAGCACGACCAGGAAACATGCTCGGTAGGCATGGCCATCAAATCTCGTGATTTTGGCTAACAAGGTCAGATTACCTTCTCTCGCACCCAACCACGCAAGCCTCATCAGTCCCCATCATCCCCCTCCCAACTCTTTGGAATACCCTCATGGACAGCTTGACCCCCATCTGGCCAGCCACAAGGACTCAAATCGACGGCGTACCCATGGGCGACGCATGGCCGTGCTCAGTCATGCCATCACACCCAACTCATCCGTGGGAAAACATTGTGCCTTTCCACAAACTAACCCAATGGATGACTTACTCACTAATGGTCCCCATGACCAAGCTCCTCCATGTTCATTTCCCTGGCGCAGAACTCCTTACCGGGCTGCCGGAATACAGAAATGGTGGACTGTTCATCGACGTCGGCCTGTTGACACTGAAGCCTGAGGATCAGAAACGCGGTCTAGCGCAATACCAACGCAATGCACAGGCAACAGGCCAACCGAGCATGGAAGTTGTACCAATGTTTACCGCCGACGACGATGTAGTGGTAGAATGGCGCGCAGTCACAGTCGGACTACTCGACGATCTGTTAGTCGACGTAAACAACCTACTGGGTCTGAGCGGGTCAGATAAGCTGAACCTGGCGCAGATGCTCGAAGCTGGTAGTTGGAAGGTAAGCTTGACGCCACTCCAATGTTCTTCTGGATGAGACTGACTCGCAACACTAGGGAGGTCGAGAGATTGCTGAAGTGTCGCGGCCCAACACTAAAGAGCCGCCAATCATGATCCTCTCGGACGGCACTGTTTTCTAAGATACCCCTTTCTTCGTTATTCCGCACTTCCTTCGCTTCCTTCACATACAGACATCGTGCAGCGGAAGCACGTATCCGATACCCACGAGGGTGCCCTTGCCCATGCCGCACCAGTACCTTCTAATTATGGCCAAGTAGGTGGGATTTATGATACACGATCTTGACGGTCGCATTTGGTGGCACGGCTTCTTGTTTATACCTTCTGCTTCGTCGCACCAGCCACATTTATGTCCTATTTATCTCCAAAGCGCTGGCAGTCTAAGCTATCCATTTCCTATGTTGTAATAATTCCTCACTTACCATGACTTTTGGAATCTTCGACCATGTAGCTATGTACCAAAGCCTTTTGAATGAGAGTGTGTGCCTCCCAACCACAACCGTTTCGCAAGTAGATGGCGATGACGAGTGAAAGACTAACACACGCGTACCCGTTACGAGACTGCCAAAAGCAAGGATGGCAATCGCATTCGCGCGTGATGGGAATGCGGAGCGCGGAAGTGCCCCACTGCCAAGCAAAGATTGGTGCAGGGCCCCAAATATCGCTCGCCAAAGCCAAAGCTCCGAAGCAGGTGTTTACAGTACGTCATCCCATCGCCAAATTCCACCTGACGGCTCGGTATTACCATCAGTTTACCACTCCGCTTTCGCTACCGACTCGGGAATCTACCGTCAGGCTACTTGCGCACAACCCGCTTCTTCACAGCTCTCACGTAGCACCTCTCTACTGTTGGTCAAGGCTGTCGCGATGAATTCGATCAAGCGGCAGAAACAGCGCAAGGTGCTGCTGATGGGCAAGAGCGGGGCTGGCAAGTCGTCGATGAGAAGCATCGTGTTTAGCAACTATGTCGCCAAAGATGTCCGTAGGCTGGGCGCGACAATCGACGTCGAGCACAGCAATATCAAGTTCATGGGAAACCTGATGCTCAATCTCTGGGACTGTGGAGGGTGAGCCCACCATACGTGAGACGACAAGATGACTCGAACTGACTCTTTGCAGTCAAGACGGCTTCGTCGAGAACTATCTCAACCAATCTAGGAACCACGTCTTCGGCTCCGTCGCTGTCCTCATCTTCGTCTTCGATATCGAATCACGCGAATTCGCAGCCGATGTCGTCTCTTACTCCAACATCATACGTGCCCTCCATGAGTGCAGCCCTGGCGCCAAAGTCTTCTGCCTCATACACAAGATGGATCTTGTGCAAGCCCGCCTTCGCCAGGCCATGTTCGACGAACGCGCCGAGTACATCCGCGAGGCTAGTGAAGGCTTCAAAGACACTGTCGAGTTCTTTGCGACCAGTATCTGGGATCAGAGCTTATACAAGGCTTGGACAAAGATTATCTACTATCTGATCCCCAACGCAGGCACCATCGAGGCGCTGCTGGAACAGCTGGCAGAGGTCATCGATGCGAGAGAACTCATCCTGTATGAGCGGACGACATGTCTTACTGTTGCCCATGTCACAAGACAGACCGAAGAATCAAATCCCTTCACAGATCGTTTCGAGCGCATTTCAAGCATCCTCAAGACACACAAGCAGAGCATGGCGTACGTACACATTCCTTACACTCATCCCACCTGTGAGAACCCCAGACTAACCAGCCGCCTCCCATAGAAAACACACAAATATCCCCGCCGGTAGCGCAAACTTTGCAGAAATGCAAATCAAAACCGGTCGCTTCATGTTCTTCATCACACGCCTGACCGAAAACACAAATCTCGCAGTCGCCATCCCACCTTCCGAACAAGTATTCAACGCTGCCCGTGTGAACATCTTCCAGGTGCGACCCAAGTTTGCCGAACTCGATATCGCAGCGAAACCAAGACCTCCTATCCAGCAGGCTTTCGCCGGGAGTGCTGACACAAGCGATAGTACAGATAAAGGGAAGCAGAAGGAGGTAGGATATGCCTCCGGAGTTTAGACGACGCCTGGGCACAAGAAGGATAATGACAAGGTTAAAAAACTGAAAGACAGCTTTACACCAAGCTTGGAAGATGCAGACGAGAGACACGATGAGGAAACATTGGATCAGATCATCAAGGCGAAGACATTCTTGCAGACTTATCACAGTCCTGATCCGTTGGGGAACATGGGGATGGATGCAGCACTTGGAAAAGAAAGGACCGAGCCAGGTACTCCGCAGTCGGACGAGCAATCTGTAACAGCAGGGGTTGGGCTCAGTAACTCATCATTGGAGATGCAGCCTGCAAGTTCGTCTCTCGGCCCCGCTCCTCAGCAGGCGCACGATAGAGATTCAGCAATGTTTCCTACAGAGACGTGAAGCTCAACGCTGGGACGGGCGCACAAGCTGTGGCTGAACCAGCTAGTACAAACTCTGACTAGGGATATTGTGCTAGTAGATATAGCCCGCATGGTGACCGGCTACGAAGACGCGCTGAAATACCAATTCTTAAGAGCTTCATCCATCCACATCTATCATCGTCTCAAAAAAAAGATCACCCTGGTCCCTGTCATATATGCATGATCGTAGTAGGCACACCATATACGATGCTTTGCATCGGAAGCGCTTACACAGGCGTCTCAAAGGAGTAGATAGCTCGATTTATACTAGCTCACTAGAGCGATCACGCGCAAGTCTCGATCTTTGTTGCCTTGCTGACAACCCATGCCGCAGATCCAAGAAATACACAAGAACGCACTCCAAGGCAGAACGGTTGGCGCACATGCAAGGATTGGGTCGAGCCAAGCGAGAATGCGGGGAAACAACCTCCTCTTCGTCTCGTCTTGATCACACAAAGCCTCCGATGAAGTGGAGATGTTAGGACGGCTTCGCTTTCTTGATTAGACTTTGGAATCGTCGGCGCCAGAAAAGAGACCGTATGTTGTACTAGTACAGAATTTCACATACGATAGAACACGGCCGCAGTACGCACCGGTCAAAAGCATTTGCTGGGTGGGCTGATCGCTCATTTACCAGGCTTTCGGAATCTGTTCGACGTGCATGCATACGCCATGAGTGTTGTGTTGCATTGCACCATCCCGTCATGTCAGATCCTTCTTATCGCTCCAGCTGGAGCGTGATGCGCAGCTTGGCCGTTATAACCAAGAACGATCTGCTGAGAAAAGCCAAGCCAGACACGTAAGATATGGCTTGTTTGCGAAAGAGATGGTGTGTAGTTGTGTACAAGGCATGCTGCGACTGTGCCTGTGGTGCTTCGCCTTTTCTTCGGCCTGAAAGGTATCGAAATCTACAAATTCTATTGTTGTTGTAATCACTACTACGCTAGCTGGTCTAGAGGCCACGATGCTCAACAATGACAGTTGGCTCGAACAAGCGCCGAAGATGCGCCTGATTATTTTATCCGGATTTCTCACGGATAGCAACATCGGCATCAGCCTCGCATCGCTGGCTTCACCACCTTAAGGAATCCAAGGCGTGAAACAATGGTCAAAGCTAGGCCAAGCCACCACCCAAGAAAGAGGTCTTACCATGCTGCAGCCACCGAAGTCGCCCAACATTGAGCTTTGATGCGGTGATCATTGACCCTGGTCTACCGCTTCATAGCGCTATTGGCTGGCTACCATGTACCGCGTGATCATCTTCAGCGGTTTTGTGTATGGATAGTATGAGCTGCATGGATGAGCAATGGTATTGGCATCAATCCAAGACGGGGAAACTCCAGCTTTTGGCACCGATAGAGGCAAGCCCTGGCAACATGGGAATATAAGCATGCGATGTTGCTTGAGGTTCTTGCTAGAGTTATTTTCAACTCCTTCATCCATATTCCTGTCTCTTGCTAGAGGCTTGTGGAGTAATCTTCGTCTGGCCTTGGGGAACCCGGGCTTAGACATCAAGCTCTATTGTACACGTCTGGTTTCCTGTCTTGGCCATGTCGGAGCCTGACAAGGAGATCAAGATCGAGTAAGCTACCATGTTTTGTAATGAAATGAGATAGGACATAATGTATAATTCGAAATGTACTGACAATGTTTGGTTCAGACCAGCGGTGGTGGATGAGCACCACGAGCGCAAAGCCTCCATCTTCGATGATGAGCAGAAGCGTAAAGAGAGCGTCGCTCGTCTCACTGCCAATTTCGAGGGAGAGTAAGTGTTACCATAACGAATTGCCTGGTCGCTATTCACCTGAACACCCTATACTAACAAGCCCAGAATCAAAAACCCACTCGTTGACATTTCGCGCGAACAACTTCTAGCCAACGTCCACGACTTCGCTGCAGAACACCAGCTGACTGACGTCGAACCCCTCCTTGTCAAAGGTGCCCTTCTTGCCCAGTCGCCCGCCCTCTTCGAGGAACTCGAAGAACTAAACGAAGCAGACCGTACAGCTGTCCGCGAGGAGATTACACATCGGTTCAAGTTACCGCGGACACTCTACTTTACCATTATTCTCAACTCCATCGCAGCTGCTATCCAGGGCTGGGACCAAACGGGATCTAATGGGGCTAATTTAACTTTTGGTCAGGCCTTGGGCATCCCAGATTCTGGCCCTGCGTGTGAGGCGGCGGGTACGTGTGAGAAGAATGGATGGATCATTGGGTTCGTAAATGCGTGTCCTTATATAGCTATCGCTGGTATGTATAGGAATTCTGACATGCTTGTGTGGCATACACTGATTTTGTATTTTCATTCCTGCAGTTTTCTGTGCCTGGATCTCTGGTAAGTTGCCGTCGCATCTCTACCTTCTCTTGCTGATGTATGTAGATCCGGTGAACGAACTCTGCGGCAGGCGTGGCACCATCTTCATCGCTGCCATCTTCTCGCTTCTGGCACCCTTCGGTATGGGTCTGAGCCAGACGTGGGGTCAGCTTGCTGTGTGTCGCGTACTCCTTGGAGTCGGTATGGGACTCAAGGAAGTTACTGTGCCTGTTTTCTCGGCGGAAAACGTACCAGCTAGTGTGCGTGGTGGACTCGTTATGTCGTGGCAGATATGGTGAGAAATATCCCTGTACCAACTGCATGTGAGACATACACTGACTTCGCACACGCACAACAGGACAGCCTTCGGAATCTTCCTAGGGACGGTCGCTAATCTAGCTGTTATGGTGAGTAGTCGTAAATCTACGTGTTGCGGTTACTGATGGAAAATAGAACACTGGGGCAATTTCCTGGCGTCTGCAGTTTGGATCTGCTTTTATCCCTGCTGTACCTCTTTGCATTGGCATCTGGTTCGTACCGGAAAGTCCTCGGTGGCTCATGAAAAAGCGCAAGTACGCCAAAGCGTATCGCTCCTTCCTCCGACTGCGGAACACCCCTCTACAAGCTGCGCGTGACCTCTACTACACCCATTGCTTGTTGGAGCAAGAAGAGGTCTTGATCCGTGAAGCTGGGATTAACCCCAAATCAAACTTCTTCACACGCTTCGTAGAGTTGTTCACTATTCCGCGCGTTCGTCGAGCGACGCAAGCTTCTGGTATTGTTATGATAGGGCAGCAGGTGAGTTGGTGGAGAAGAGCTTATACCAGAGATGGTAGCTGACGAAGATAGATGTGCGGTATCAACATCATCGCATTCTACAGCTCAACGATCTTCGCAGAGGGAGGAGCCACGAACAAGGAAGCTCTCATTGCGTCGTTTGGCTTCGGTCTTGTCAACTTCACTTTCGCGTGGCCTGCTGTCTGGACAATCGATACTTTCGGTCGCCGCGGACTGCTCCTGTTCACGTTTCCGAATATGTTCTGGACACTTCTCGTAGCTGGGATGTGTTACTACATCCCCAAGGATAGTGACGCGCATCTGGGTTTGATCGCCTTCTTCGTGTATCTCTTTGGTGCCTTCTACTCTCCTGGAATGGGGCCAGTACCTTTCACATACTCAGCCGAGGTATTCCCGCTCTCCCATCGTGAAGTGGGCATGTCGTGGGCTGTGGCTACGAACAACTTCTGGGTACGTAACGAGGATTTACGAACTGCACGGTAGGACCATACTGATTTGGCACACCAAACTCTAGGCAGCGGTCCTGTCGCTTACACTTCCTCGAATGCTCAAAGTTATGAAGCCTCAGGGAGTGTTCGGCTTCTACGCCGGTATGAACGTGGTCGCTCTCATCATGATGTGAGTCGATGCCCATTCCATCTTGCAAAACGAGTACATCTGACAGACGACCAGCTTCTTGTGGCTACCTGAGACTAAACAACGAACACTCGAAGAGCTCGACTATGTCTTTGGTGTTCCCACGCGCACGCACATGAAATACCAGGCCGGTCAGAATCTACCTTGGTGGTTCAAGACATACGTCCTCCGGCAAAAGGGTCTCTCTAAGCCTCAGCTGTATAAATTTGGCGATCAACGACCCCCTGTGAGCGTGACGGCGCAGATGAGCTATGCTTGGAATGCGTACATTCTTCGCAAGAAGGGTCTGGCTAAGCCGGATGCCTATGTCAAGGCGTCGCCTAGCGGCGAGAAGCAGGTGTAGGTGGCTGTTGCTTAGGAGGTAGTGGGGACTTTCACAGGCTGGCGGTCGTGGTGGCATCAGATCTTGTCATTCGTTGGTTTGATACCCTTGTGCTGGCTGTGGTCAGCGTTGCAGTTTGTCCCTGATACAACAATACACAAAGGAGTGAAGTGGACCGTGTCGTCGGTGTCCCCACTACTGAAAACACGCCAATCGTCCTGCAGCCCCACAAAAACGCGCTGCTCAAGCGCGCCTGGATACTAGTGCCATCTGCTGTGACTTTCACATGCACTTGAGAAGCATGCAAACGGCTATCCGGGATGCGACGGCAAACGTCAAGGGCTGCCCTGACAGCGACTGCCTCGGCTAGCCACCAGCCAATGCACTGTACCCCCCCAGTTCAGCCATAGCAAAAGTCGCCGTGAGGATGGGCCGATAGTCAGTAATCGTATAGCGTTAGGATCGCGAGACTCTGCGGATATATCGTCTTTCTTTTCTGTCCTTTGGTTGAAGCTGACGATACCTTGCCCCTTGGCTTTGTCGCCGGATCCGCTTCTCTCCGCCATCTTCCCCGCATCTCAGGCACGCCCTTATACAGCGTCTGCGCTGCCGCCGCCGCCGCCTCGCCAACACTTTCCCGTCCTTGTCACAGCATAGCACCGAGACAGCCTCGAGATTGTCCAAGATGCCAGTCTTTGATCTGAAGAAGAACCTCGTCTTCGTAATGGCACCTGTGCAACCCTCAAAAGATGCGCATCAGCTAATGCGAAAGAGCAGTATGGCGCATATCACCGCGAGCCAACAAACGTCGCCATCCACATAGCATGCGTGCCTGTCCTGCTTGCGACAGGCATTCTCTTCGTACGTTGCCTAGTCTTTCCTCGCTGACCACTACTCACCTCTCAGGGCACAAACACACCTACCCTCCCCATCCGCCAACACCCCCTCCTAACCCGCCTCAACCTCCCCTTGAACCTCGGCACCATCGCCGCAGCTACCTACTCAACTCTCTACCTCCTTCTCTCTCCCAACCTCGCTGGCGTGACCGTCACCCCTATCATCCTCGCCTTCGCATCCCTCTCCAACCGCCTCACGCAGCGCTACAACAAGACCAAAGTCAACAGCATTGCCGTCGCCGTCCATGTCGTAAGCTGGATACTGCAATTCGTTGGACATGGCAAGTTTGAAGGGCGCAAACCCGCACTGCTAGACAATTTGGTCCAGGCCCTGTTCCTGGCGCCCTTGTTTGTGTGGTATGAAGTGCTGTTCAAGATGGGCTTCTACAAGGGGTTGAAGAGGGAGGTGGAGCTTGGTGTTGAGGCCGAGATTGCAAAGTTGAAGGCGAAGAAGGCGGACAAGGGTAAGGGGATCGCACTAGACGATAAGGCGGACACTAAGGATGATGTTGTGGACGCTGTCCTTGATGGGGAAAAAGAGGGTAGTGGTGAAATCTAGATGTGTGATGTGAACCCATGGTTCTGAGATACTCAGAGGATATCAAGACAGTGCCAAATTATGGCATAACATACCAATCTTCTTCTTCAGTCCCTTCGTCATTTGGCCATACGCTAAGTGCTGCACATTATTTGATACAAACACATACCATGCCATAACCTCAGTCTGCCCAGTCTTTCATACGCTCGCCCGCCTAGCTTCCTTCACTCAAAAGCTATCTTGAGAATGCTCTCACGCTTCAAGACAGCAATGAGATCCTGTAGTGAAGATAATTAGCACATATCATGTTCAGAAACACGTCAGTCTGTATCCAACTGGAAGAGAACCTTACCTTGAAAGGATCCTCATCTAACTCATCCACAGACGGCATCGTGATTTCTTGGGCTGCCTCTTGTACATTGCGTGTACATATGAGGATTTCTCCTCCTCCTCCTCCTCCTCCTCCTCCTCCTTCTCCTCCTCCTTCTTCTTCTTCTTCTTCTTTCTCGTCAACTTCGATCCTGAACTTTCCTAGCTCAAAGGCGCGCTTTGCCGTGTTGTAGTTGACAAATAGGCGGAAGCGGTGATCGCCGACCTCGGGCCAGTATGTGAATGAGAAAGAAGTGGACTTCACGAAGCTGAAGACATGATCTCGAGCTGCGTTGAGGGAAGGGAATCTCGCCGGCCAGGGGGACACAAGCACTAGAAGGCGTTGCACGTCGAACTCGATAGCTTCTATGTTGGCGCATCAATATAGTTCAGAGGGTTCGACGGTAGATCGACCTACCTTTCATTGTGCCAAACCTTTCAATTGGCGCCTTTGACGTAGCAGCAGCCTTTTGGAGTTTGCGCTGTGGTTGCCGCCATCCTTTACCGGGTGTATTCATGTCAAACCTGCCTGCTTCGAAAGCATGCCTGGCCGTGTTAAAGTTGACATAGGCTCGGAACTTCTTCTCTTCCACCCCTTCGAATTGCTCATACACGAACCGTGACCATCGTGCAACTCTTTCGATGTGAAGAGTGGCATGTTGCACACTGAGGAAGCTTGATGGCCAATAAGACACCAAGGGGAGCAGGCGTTTAATGTCGGCTTCGACGGCGGCTAGACCATGTACGTGTCAGTATCAGGAAATAAGGAGAGAATCAGGCATACATACCCCTCAAAGCTCTTGGATCGGCTAACTCGACCTTCAGATAGAACTCCCCCTGCCCGAAAGCTTTGGCAGCTACTATGAAGCAGGCCCTATCTTTCACATACTCCATTTCGTCCTCTGTCATGTGCTTGCTAGTGATGTACTTGAGGTCGACTTTCTCGCAGGCAGCATCAACATATGCTTTTGCTTCCTCGATATCGTAGAAGTGTGTGGGATAGGTGTGGATAATAGCTTCTGCTTTGGCGGCGGCTAAGGAGACGACCCCTGAAAGTATTAATGGAACACTTTTTGTTTGTGTGAGAAGGAGCGTTGAAACCTTTGAGATGCTCGTTCTTCGGCATGGGGAGGTTTTTGCACGTTTTGGTTTGGTGTTGTCTTGTGAACGGCAGGTTGAAGTGCGAGTCGCAACAGATTTAGGTATTGATGAGAAGAATTAGAAGGACGACGAGATTCTCGAAGTATGATGCATTGTGATTTCAAACGATTCCGACCTTACAAACGCGCGCGTAGCTCAGCCCAAGGTACCAAGGCGGATATGTTGCGCGGCGATTTGCCCGGACGAGCGAAGGCTTTCGATACAAACAGACAAGTCGAAAGCCCACTGACGTCCCGCAGCTCCGGTACCGATTAGACTCCTCGTGAACGACGTACCTGAGTCCCAGCCGAGACTGCTCTGCATATGTACATTTGCAAGGCCATGCATGTACAATAATGCACCCCCAGCTGCGTGCTCTATCAGGATATTGTAACGAAAACTTTTGTAGTAGTACAATTTAGGCATCTCTCATATCTGCCCTTTACTCCTCTTCGTCACTCTCGTCATCGTCCACCTTATACAAGAAATACTGTACAAACACACCAGCATCCAACAACAACGTGCCAAAGCTGCCCAATAACCAGCTCATGTTGACCGCAATGTACTTGCCGTACTCAGCACGTCCCTCGCCACCCTGGCAGACATGACCCCCACACTTGGGCTTGTAGACCAAAATGCTCAACACATATGTCAAGTTACCTAAGCAAGCAAACAGGAAGAATAGCATGCTGATGCCCTCGGTAGATTTGCGGCGGTAGTTAAGCAGGAGCTGTGGGACACGAGAGCCAAGGTAGAGTGCGGCGCAAACGTAGCCGGAGATCTGGCCCCAAAGGTTGAAGTGCAGTGTTGATTCGGGAGACGAGTCCTGGTCATCTGGCTGATTGGGAGCGGTGGAGTTCCGGGCACTGAGATACCAACCGAAGACGCCGGCCGCGCATACAAGAACGATGGTACCAAGGTTGAAGATGATTGTTTGCAGGCTGGACTGGGCCGGCTGAGGTTTGGCTGCGACCGCGCCATTCTGGTGTGCAATAGTAGAGTCATCGTGGAGTGGTGTGACAGGCGAAAGGTGCGTGCCATCAATAGAGAGGTATCGTTCGCGGAATGAGCCTTGTGAGTGGCTTGAGCCGCGTCTGTCGATGTCTGATATGCGCGGTCTCTGTACCTCGATCCCATTGCCGTTGCCGTTTGTATAGGGTGAGCCACTTGACTGCGGCCTACGGTGCGGAAGAAGCGGTGACTGCTCGCTAGCTTCACTATCCTCATCGGATTCATCCATCGGTTTCTTAAAATCATCGCGCAACGTAAAGCCCTTGTAGTAGAAGCACTGCAGCAATAGCACGATGTCGGCTAGCGTATAGTACACCGCCAAGATGGTCATCGTTGGCAGCACACCCTGCAGTACTGCACCTATGATGTTGAAGAAGTCCCCGAGAAGCCATATCACAATGAAGACTACCGAAAGGCCCTCTGCCGAGCTTCTCTTCCAGTTCTCAATTATTTGAGGTGAAAAAACCACTATATGCGGGTCAGCTCCGGCTTGCCGAGGTAACAATCATGTCAAAACAATACGGCGCAAGCGCGTCGCACAGCGTATAGCTGTGCAGGAAGACGGAAAGTACATACCTATCCAGCATGCGATACTGATGGAGCCAAATATCTGGCTGATGGCATCAATGTCCAATCGCAAGCCCTGCGATGGAGGAAACATCTTCGCTATGACGTAACACACCTGATCCCTAGCTCTTTCTCAGTCGCAAAAGCTCGCGGGTAACTCCAGAGACCCAAAGAAGCTACTTTAAAACACTTGCGATAGTGTTATTTATGAGAACTTACCACAAGCTTGCAGCTCCCTTCCCTGACGATGAGTCCCGGTGCGAATGTGCGGGAGCTGAACCAAGAAAGGCTGGCTATAGCTTCTCAGGTAAGTAAGCGGCTCCGGGCCCAGCCACGTATGTATATAAAGGATGTTTATCGAAAGAGGTCGGAGAAGGTGTGTGCTGAGTGGTCTCAGATGAAAGCAACGAATATGAGATGGAATCTAGAACACAATTGCTTGGATGACTGACATGTGGAAAATCTCGGGCGAGTACGTAATCTGGGGTTACAGGGATCAGCTTCTGCAGGAACCAGAACACGAGCAAGAGCCGCAGGATTTAAGCGAGCTGCGAACGTGCGCCGCACGCGATGATCTAAACAATGCCATGCTTTGATAATATCTTTTCCATGATTATGAGCGTTAAGCCTTTATATTTCTACTCTGATATTGAGATAGCTTTGTGTGGTTAAGATGCATTCCATCCAACTAACCAGTTCCCTCCCAGAATGCAGCCGCGCCCGCAAGATCATCAACGTTCAACAGGTCAACACCCTCGTCCCAAAGAATCCGCCATACCGCGTTCCTCGTGCCAATAGGATAGTCTGGCTGATTCCAGTACCTAGCCATGATTCCCTTCTCATGAGCCATGTCAAGTTGGCCTCTCAAAGTCTCTAGCTGCGTATCGTTGAACTCACGCTTACGCACTTCACCAAAGGATGATGCAAAATTGGTAGATGCAATCGGCGACTCGTTGGCTGTGAGATCTTGGTACTTGACATCGTTGAGCTCAGCAAGTGGCGCATCAAAGAACACGTCACGCGGAGACGATGCTAGGACGTCAGAAAGTTGGGTGTTTCCAGTTCCAATGACGGTGACGGGGTTCTTGCGCAGAGTCGTGCCATCGTAGGTAGTCAGCCAGTCGCCGCTTCGCAGAGGTTCCAAGGCTTCGAGAACAGCAGGCCAGGTCTCGTCAGCAGCAGTCTTCAGATCAATAAAGAAGTAAAGAGTCTGTCCACTGGAGGTGTCGAACACGCCATTCTGCTCGCCAGGCTGCACAAATCGAGTGCTTGGGTTTTGGCGATGCAGAGTGTCAAGGATGGGCTCCAGATACAGAGACTGGAGAGTGCGCTTGTCGGTCAAGGCAGCGGGTTCATGACCGACCTTCAACGAATGAGCCGAGATTTCAACTGGATGCTATCGCAACGTATAAGGATCGAAACTACTTACATATAGTGTGCCGTTTAGTAGCCACACATCGGCTTCTGTTGATATGGCGCCTTGACTTAATCCCGAGTAGAAGGGAACATCACGCCAGTAGTCGTTGTGGCTATGGAACGGCTTCGGGATGATCTCCCTGGTGAAATCGGTTGGATATGTGTATTTTTCACTCTTGTCGGTGTTTTCCAGAATGTTTTTCAGTGGCGTCTGCTGTCCGTATGGTGCTGCGCTGCAGAGCGCGGCGAGACTAGCGGTAAGAGAGAAGGAACGCATAATGACAGCGACGCGACACAAACAACGTAGGGCGCGCAGACAATACAAGTGAATGATTCGGATGCTTTGTAGGACGAAGCGCAAAACCCCGAAAGCGATTGATGGGGACCAGCTGGTGGTTGATGAATGTTTGGATTGGAGCTTGTCAACGATGTCACAGGTGGAGATACCCGTGAACATCCGGCCAATCCGGGCAAGTCACTCGGCCCGTGTCTGTATGACTTGCTTCTGGAGGTTCCCTCGCATGGCGACACGTGCGGAGAGAAGGATAGTACTTGCCTTTTTCTCTTCTCGTGAGCCTTCATCAGGGGCAGGATGCCAAAGTTTTGCGACATCGGCTTGGTTGCTATGTGGTTGAAGCTCTTGTTGGGCATCACGCACTAGCCTGTTTTCTGGGAGCTGCTGCTTGTAGCATCGCTGGGATACCACCTGCGTTTCGCAGTCAGTGTCAATGCTACTTGGGTTGATTCTGTGTTTGCTACAGCTCGTTGAATGCCCAAGATATTAGTGATAGACACATTGGCAAAAACGTTGCGTAGTCATCCATGGGTACCTAGGTAGGTCCAAGGGTCGTGTTGGAAGTGGAAACACGTTCGTGCATGCAAGGAAGAATCATGTGCATGACAAGCGCAAGCATTCTCTCTTGTTACCCTAGTCGAATGTTCCAATACGATATGGACTTATATTGAGTCCTTGGAGATTTGGTCGTGCAGTGCAAAACGCGATGTATTTGGCTGATAACACAAGCAGCGGAATGGGAGGCTCTCTGACAGGTTACCTAGGTACTCACTACGCGCTCTTTTGTAGTAAATAAGAGTAGTACAATGCTGTTTACAAATAAATCCTCATGATGTGAATCTCACTCGCATGCCTCTGGACCCACACTCGATTACCACAAAGTCCATTCGGTCCTTCAACCCTACCCGCATCTTCCTTCCAACATCCAAGTTCACAACATCCATTCCCCTGGTCCTCGTTGGAGTTATAGCGGCTTTGCTTTCCGTGTCACGGGTCCTTGGAAGAGATCCTGCACGATGTTAGTGCATTTTATAGAACGAGGGTCTTCGGTGGGGTCCACAGACGTGATTGGGCGGATGCGAGAGCCGTTTCAGATGCATTAGCCGCTGCAACCACGGTGAACTGTAGACAAGTGAATGTGGTAGATCCTGTCGGCGTTTGCACCTACGGACCGCGCTACAAAAGTAACGAACGTCGTGGCTGGTATAGTAAAGTCGGTAGTCGGTGTGATTGAATCGTAGGTGCTGCCCAGGTACGTAAAGTTGTGCCGAGCAACATTCCACGCGTCGAAAGGGCTGCGGACGCGGCACGGATGAAAACAGATTTGTTCCCTTGTACCTAGGTAGCCATCAACACCCAAACATTTGCCATATCATTATTTAAGTTAAGAGGATGCGGGCAGTTGTTGAACATTCACGCGGGTGGAGCAACTGAGTATGGTAGTGATGATCTCCTGATAGAGAAGTTGAATTGATTGAGGCAAGCAGGATGTCGCTAGATCCATCCAACACCGTATCGTGCATGCCATTGGCGAGAGCCAGATGTAAATTCCCAAACGCCGCGCCTCCCGCTCTCATAGACAAAGAAATAGATCGTAATATGATCTCTGACAATGCATCGCTAATACAGATAGCGTCGCAGACGCTCGAATAGATAGTTGTGTATGGCAATCAAGACGATTGTTATGAGCTGGTGGAGCTGACTGAGTCGGATGATGAAGCGCCGCTTCGTCGGCGTGCCGAGTCTGTAGCAGTGCTAAGCTGGCGCTTGGTGTGCTCGTGCATGATCCTGATAAAGGTTAGTGGATGTTGCGAGTCATGGTTGAGAATAGTAACATACCTTTGGTACTCGGACATGGCTCGCTCAGGGTCGTTGAGGTCAAAGTTGTTGGCAAAGTTGTGTTGAGCACTCATGGGCTCTGAGAAGCCGTCTCCGGAGACGTAGACTTGCTGGCGGGACTCGGTCATGGCAGACATTGTTGATGAAGTTTGGTATGAAGATGTAGTGAAGTAGAGATAGTTTGAAGCTTAAGTAAGATAAGATGTGTACGGAGAGTGTACTGAAGATCGAGGATTTGTATGTGAATCGATGAACAGGCTGATTGTGATGGGTTCTAGAGAATCAGCAAGCGGGGTGTGAACTATATACCCTCCTCCCGTCTCACAACGCACGCACAACACAGGCGGGCGGAACGACATGTCCCCCATCATGACCGCGCATGGCAAAAGATCGGCCCATGACTGTCGGGTCAAAGAAGTGATCCACCCTGGCCAGCGCGCTAGTGGGCCGCCATCTTCGAGGCTTACAATCACAGATCTACAGGGTCCTTCCTCATCTAGCCCTAGTACGCCTCTGCACCAATGACGAGGCGCCGATGCAGACATCCCCGTTTTGAGCGGGTCAAGTACCTAGGGATCACGACGTTGCTTATGATGTCGGCAATGACGGCCACCCTGGAAAGCTGTTTAGGGGTCTTGTCTGGCAATAAGGCTGGCAGGCCATTCACAGCCCACGACAGGCGTACCGCGTTTGTTGAGTGGTGTAGCCGATTAAGGGTCAGGCGGTACACGGCTGCACCTGCGCAATGTCCTTGTTGAAAGCCGCCGAGCGGCAATTTCGAATTTCCCATGTTGCATACTTGCTATTTCTTCCATGGTAGAGTCATCATATTCGGGGTGCCCGTATGAAGCTGTGCTGCCTCGCCTAGACTCCATGACGCAGCAGTCATGTCAAAAGTCGAACGGCACGGCTGTCTGCGCGCTTCGTGGAGCACAGAGTCCCCCAGCGACGTCAGACGCCGCCATGGCTCAACTTCGAAACCCGCATGCCACAAGAGATATGCGGCCCAGCAGAGTGAAAGACCCTCCCAGCTCCAGCGCCCCAAAGTTTCCGTGCGCCAAAGAACGTCATCTTGTCCGAATTCGGCAAAGATAGGCCCGGGAATTCTGCATGGCTATGTATAAGCGGGTCTAGCGCCTCTTTCGCAAAAGCAGGGTCTCGCGCTACCGCACACCCGTTGCGTTCATAGCCTCCACTGTAACCGCTCCCCAGCAACATACTCTGGCTGAACATCGTCACTTCTGACGTTTGTCCGTGTTGGCTTCCTTTCAGCCTCAGACATCGTCATGCAGGGTCTTCGCGCTCCGCCGTGGTCACCAAAGACGCAGGTACCGTTGTGATGACGATGTCGTCTGACCACGCCCTCTACATTGCAGCCTAAGGCGTATCCAAACCGAGAGCCTCAGCCTGTGTCACGAGGCTGGAACCCTCTGGACGTGGCCGTATATTCTGGAACGCATCTCAAAGGAGATCCACGCCCTCGCTGTAAATCATACAGGCTAGATGTCTAGGCCTGTGATCATCACCCTATCCTCCAATGGAATTCGTGCAATTAATCTAGAGAATTTGGACAGAATTTGGACAGAATTTGGACAGAATTTGTGTCCCACAGCAAGAGATCTTCATGCTGCATAATCTGCCTGTCAAATCAAAAGCTACTGCCTCTTTGACAGCATCGAGTCGAACATCCCAACCTCCTTGCGAAACACCCCTTCGATCGCTTCTCTAAATCCCCGATGCCGCTACCCTACGTCTAGACCACTCGTGCTGAACGCACATCTCCAAATCCTCAATCTCATCGCTGAGATTCTGCTCAACCTCGCCGCACATCGCAAGTTCGCATCAGGATCGAAATGGACCACTTTGACCGCTCTAGTCCCTTTCCAACCGTGCTTGCGGAACGTCATGCCAACCCGCAGATCTTCATCCCCATTGACGGATTTGGTCACCCCACACCACGTCCTTCCCACCAAGGCAGCTTCCCGTCTAAAGGGCCCCGTTAGTCTGTTCGCTACGTTCTCGCGACAATGCAGGGGGCTACAGCTGTTTGCGCTTTTGTGGGTTATGATGTTACTCGTCAAGTCGAGGTCAGCATCAGCGATGAATGCTAACCATCCAGTGGAACGGTCCCGAGGAGCCATGTCAATCCGGAACGTGTGCCGAGTCCATCGGCATCGGCACTGACTGACTGACGTTTCGAGTGGAGTTTGACGTTTTCTGAGTCGGATGCACGCGACTGACGCAAGAGGCCCTACCCACGTCACTCACAGAGCAGCTACCACATTGCGAAAGTGCTCCAGATTCGTCCAATATTGCCTACAACTGTTCGAGACCCTTACCGGTCAATACAGCGCTGACCATCTTCTCGCTGCCCACATATGATGTCATGTCGCTTATTTCATTGAAAACGGTGGCAGGAAAACTGTTCTCGAAATAGATCGTCATCGAAAACGATCGACAAACACACCACCACATTTGACTGCCCCAGCAGACGTTCGTCATCAGGCGAGCTATCCGTTTCGCCTGAGCATCTTTAACGGTGCGGACCCAAGTATGACATAGCTGCTCAGCTTTGAGGACAGGAAAGCCACTCAGACATGACATAATCGCACTTCTGCTGGATGCAGGATTCGTGAACCAGTTGTAGCACGCCGATGCACCTAGCATCCTTCCGCAGGGGAGACTGCAAGCCACCAATTTGCTTTGCGCAACGCAAAGGTGGGTTTGCGCAAGCGTACAGGAGTGCTGATGACGCGCAGCGAGGAAATCCGAAGAACAATATGCGATAGGGTCACGGCCTGAGACGCTTCTTCACAGCTCCGTTCAACGGCAATCAACGCACCAGATCTCGGTCATCGCAGTTGCACCAGTCTCATTACTCCCTGAGCGTCAAAGACCGGATACGGACTACGTACCATGGTGATAATCTGCGTAGAGACATTGTCGTACACACATCCTCGCAATATCACAGAACGACTCGAGACGGCTAATCCTCTGGTACAATACCTTCATATTGGCGTACCTTCCAGCGCCTGCGCCTTTAGCCCGCGATCTCTTCGGTTCTAGCATTCGCTCTTCCTGGTGAATCGCCTCGTCTCAACATCTCGTTGGCAAAATCCAGTCATCGACGTACCGCCACTTGCCTCAACTAACCACAATACACAACACATCCTCTCTCAAGCTGCTTATACACGGATACTTGGTATACAGAGGTTGAGAAGCCAGCATCTTGGTAACATTGTAATGCATAGGCTACAGTACAATGCGCATGCAAGCTTGATCGAGACACCTGAGCCACCTCGTTGTTAAAGAAGGCACCCTTGGTGATGTTGTTAAAGGTACATGGACCCGGCGTTCCTTTAAACATAGTGCGAACCTTGCAGTGTACTTCGTTTCTGCCTTCCGCCTTTCATCAAGTAAATACAAGCTTGTTTCCTTTCTTCTTCGCCTCAAGCATCTCATCTTTCCACTTGCTCACTTCCTCTATCGCCTTCTTTGGCTCCATCTTGTGCATCAACAAATAGCCTTGGACCTCCGCAGGCGAGAAGATCTTCTCGGGTAAGGCATCAGAAAAACGCTGTGCCATCTCCCCGAGCTTGTCCAGCTCGAGGGTGGCGGCAACGGATTTCTTGGGCAGGCAGATACCGAGGAATTCGTGGGTTTCGACTGCATTTGCGGGTATCCCATTATCCATAGCGACTTCGGTCTCAGGGGTAATCTCAGATATGGCGGTGTCGGTGCTGAACATGCGCATGTACATGTCGCGGATCTGATCGCGCGTGGCGAGCGTGAAGCCGATCTGGAGATCAACGCGACCCGGTCGGGTTAAAGCGTCATCCAGCTTGTCTGGTGTATTGGTAGTCATGATGAGCACATGACCCTCGTGGGAAGCGGCACCATCGATGACATTGAGGAGTCCACTTAGACTAATGGAGCCCGAACCTCCTCTTAAGACTTCTGTTGAAACTGGCTTACCCGCTGCTTCTGGAAGTGCGGGATCTTTTACTGGCTCCTCCTGCTTCGCAAACCCGCTGAAGAGACTGAAGGGCAACTGAACTAGTATCAGAGGCCACGCAAGAATACTAAGAGCTCTCGATGGTGTACTATCTGGCTTGTCCTGTGTTCCAATCTGGTGTGCCTCAAGAACAACTGTAGCATCATCGGTGGCTAGAATGGGAGACGCAAGACCATCACGCCGAATACCCGCAGCGTCGATGTCCTCAAGGAGAAGGAAACATCGACGAGGAAGTTGGTTGAGTAAGGAACTCAGCTCGGACTCGGTGATTCCGTCGTTAAGAGAGAGGCAGTACATATCTAGACCGAATATGCCAGCTAGAGCAAAAGAAAGCGATGTTTTCCCCGTTCCTGGTGGCCCATGGAAGAGATAGCCACGGCGATGAGGGATACCACGTGCGGCATACCAACGCGCCGTGGCAGGGTTGAGATACTCGTTGATATCTGCGACGACCCTGCCTTTCTGTTGCTGGTCTAGAGCTACCGTGCTAAGTGGCCGTGACGAGCGTCTAGACTGACGTCTCCAGTACCGCTCCCCACGACCGTTTTGATTTGGAGCTTGATAAATCGATGTAGTTGTACTTGCCTTGTTAAGACTCCACCTTTTGACGTAGATAAGCAGTTGTTTAATAGGCTCAGTTCCCCTCCCCTTGCAACACAGTACAATCTGCTCATCGTAACTGTCTCTCCGTCCCCCGGTCTGCTCCTTCTTGACACGCGCAAAACTAAACCATCGACCCTGGTGATAAAAGTTGTAGTCACCGAAACTGGGCTGATATACTGGTGGTATGTTGCCCGCCCACTTCACGTTATTGAAAATTCCATATTCGTCCAACCCGTCGTCACTATCATCTGCGTCTTCGAGTCCGCGAACGTAGCGGGTAGCTGCAGTCAGACGTCTACTAGATGTGGTCATGGGTTGCACCGCTATCCAGCTCATGATGTGATCGTACATGATATCGGATTCATCAATGACGACAGACGATGTGTAGTAGACACTGAAATAACCGTAAGCTAGGCCGTAAGTAAAGATGGCTCCGTGGTACAGGCCGAAGAGGACAAGCCATCCCGTGACAAAGACGCCGATGTCAAAACCTAGGTACCGGAATGTTAGCTGAGCGATTGTGCTGTAGCCTGGAACAAACATCTCTAGGACTGTTGAGGGCACGCTCGTGCTGGTTGCATTGTTGTTTGTAGAGTTGAATTCGGATATAATAGCCTGCAGGCGGGAGAAATCCATTTCGTAGTTCGACTGTGGGGGTCTGCCGCAGTAGTTTGGTAGGCGTTTTGGAAAGAAGGAAAGAGTAATAAAGCCTGTCTGTGGATTTATAGGAGACGCTGTTCGGAATCCGAACATAGTCAGGGAAACAGCAACGCAGGATGATCACTGTACTGTACGTGTCGTCGATAAGGAATGTGATACAGAAGGAACAGACCTGGGAATGGCAAGCATCCAATCAATTGGAGGACTTGTACTTGAAAGAAAAGGACAGCTCATTTGTAGGGGGTGATTAATGCAATTCATAAGGATGCTGTCACAGATGCATGTTCAACAGCAGACTCACCATAACCCGACCACACTTTACGTGTCGAAGAGCATATCAAACCTGGCTTAGTACTTCGTGTACACAAGACGCCGAGGCCATACACCGTTTGCGAGAATATTCACTTACTTGTAAATGTTGTTTGGTGTATGCTTCAAACGGCGAGCAAGAGAACGCCAGCATAGCAGGTCACGGCGGAACGATAACATGCTGGAGAAAGGTCGCAGACGAGTGTCAGTCCCAGGTTGAGGCAGCCACTCCTCATTACCACCACATCACCAAGATCTCAGGAATCAGGATTCGATAAACTTCGGATCATCCATGGGTCGTAAGGTAGAAAGGCATAACGTTTACAAAGCAAAAAACAGATTCAATGGTATCGTGCGCAAATCTACATCACTCCTTTGTTTCTAAGATCCACTTTCTTTCTTGTCCCTAGGGGATACACAGAACTGTGATCTGGCGCAGCCTTCCTACAGCCTTTTCCCCAACAAACACCAACCAACACTTCAAGAAAAAACAAGATGGTACAGAAAGGTAAAAATCGGACAAATAGAAAAATTGTTTCTACCTTTGCCATAGCTACATGACTTGAAAGTTGAGGTCAACACGCCCACCCCAGCCCCCACTACGGGAGTACGGGGACGGGAACGAATACCTGGGAGCTAGGCAGTAAGGATGAAGTGTCTTTTCAGTTGTCGTCGTTTGCGGTCGTAGGAGAACGCCGATACGCATGCAAGAACCATGTGCTGAAGAATGCTTTGGGTGCTATCATCAAAGTCCCTCATTTGTTTCTTTTGGAAAGGAAAAGACTTAGTTGCGGCCGAAGTGACCACGGCGGTGCTTGTGTGCGTGTCGGCGGTAGTCAGCACCAACAGTGGTGGTAACGACAACCTCAACAATGGCAACCTCGTATACGACACCGTCCTTGGTGTAGGTAGAGGTAGAGACAGCCTCGTCACCCGCGACAGCATCAACGATGTCAGCAAGAGGAGTAACGGCAGGTGCGGCGGGGTAGTTGCCATAGTCAGCGCTGGAGCTGGACTTGACCATGGTGGAAGGGCTCTCAACGTTGTAGACGGAGATACCACCAGCGCCCATGGAGCGAGCAGGGGCGTAGGACTGAGTGGGCACAGGGGCGACAGAGGACAGAGTAGGAGTGATGGGCTCCTCGTCGTCCTTGTCTCCTCCTTCAAGGGGTGCGGCATACTCGGGTCCGTATTGAACGGGGACGTTACCGCAGAGACCGTTGGAAGGACCGGCGCAGTCATCGACAGAGAGGACCTTAGGCATGGACTGGATCTTGCAGGTGGCCTGCTCAGACTCAGTTTGGAGGGAACCGGAGAAGACTGGGCAGTCCTCAACGCGACCAGAGGGGTTGGTGCAGGTGGAGACGGCGGACTGGAGGGTGTCGATGTTCCATCCGTTGATGAAATCAGCGTGGTATCCGTAACCTATCTTGCGTTAGTTGCGAATCGACACTAAAATATTGGGTTTATATACCAGTTGGGTCACCGTTGGACCACACGAACTGACCGGGGGAGTCCTTGAACTTGTAGGTGTTCCAGATAGTCTCGTAGAAGAGAGAGGGAACACGAGTGTCGAAACCCTCGGGGCACGAGCCACCGTCAATCATGTTAGGGTAGGCCATGTGGCTCTTGTGGTCGTCGGCGGTCTTGTCCTTGCCGTTCCAGCACGAGGGGAACATGATCTCGGCACGGATACCGTTGGCGCAGTTCTCGTCCATGTAGTCCTTGGTGGGGAGGAAGTGGCGATAGCGCGAGCCCTCGGGTGCCTTGTTGTAGTTGAGGCAGTTGAAGCCAATGGACTTCTGGCCAAGAGACAGCTGGGTCATGTCGTCGGCGGTCCAGGCAGAGGTTGGCGGGTCAGGAACCGGGCCGGTGAAGTTACGGAGACGGGAGTCACCTGCGAGCATCTGGAAGCCCTCAGGGAAGGCCTTCAGGTCATCACCGAGGAGGAGGTAGTATGCGAGCATACCACCAATCTGAGGGACGATCTCAGTCTTGCCACCCTCGTGGACAAAGTGGAGGGAGGGGGTCCAGTAGGCGGACTTGTCGTCGTCGAACTGGCACGAAGTGCACTCCGACTCACGAAGCATGTCATAGGTGGTCGTCTCAGCGAAGTCTGTCGGCTGTTAGTAAGCTGTAATCATCCGCAAACTTGCCCCTGATTCAGACACCCACATGCAGGTCATCGCATGAATGACTCGCATACAACTGGACAGCTCAGGGGCTCCTTGTTTGAAGATGCCCTGACATGTCCAGAGTAGATGCTCGTCGACCATGCGCCTGGTGTGGTGTGTCGAATTAGAAGCGGACGGTCTTCACTTACTGCTTCCACCGTGGATGGTGTGGGCGTGAGAGGAAGCAGTTCCCTCGTCGACGATGGGGTCCAGACGTGCAAGGGCAGTGCGGTCGTGGCAGGGCATGCGCCAGAAAGCGTTGGCAGAGCCGGACAGCATAGCTGCCGCGGCGATGGATGCAACAGACTTCATGGTTGAAAGTGTAGCCGGCTTGGGTTGAGTGTAGAAGTGGTGGAGTACTCCTGCGATAAGGGTGATTGTTGAGACAAAAGGCGAATGCTTTTTCCACTATGTCGTCGGAGTAGTATCGATGGCGTTTCCGTGTACGTTGACGAAGTGAATAACCTCAGCCTCCAGGACTCTCCCGAGCTTCAAGTTGGATAGACACAGAAATGAGTGTAGCGTTGTCGCGAAGACAACTAGATTGATGGATAGCGAATGTTGCTGGTGCAAAGGAGTGACAGAGCGAAAGAATGAACGCGGTAAAGGAAGGGAAAAGAAGGAGATGAGATACGGGAGAGATGGGGAAACGAGCGGTTATCACGCTTGATCAGTGCTAGAGGCTCTTTTTAGGGGAGATGAAGGAATGCTTTGGTTTAGCGAGGTGAAACCCTAGATTAGTCCATGGAGCATGGGATGCCCTGGGAGGCTGCTGCGATGCTCTCGTTGGACCGTGAGGCGCTGCGCACCGGCCGCTAGTCCAGATATGGTAAACTGAAACATGTCAGTAAGGGGATCTAGCACATGGATTTGGAGAGTGCCGGCGGGCAGCCTTGTGCGAGCCAAATGAATCGAGCACTTTGGAGCCGCATTCTGTGGAGGCGGCACTCACTCATGATGCTGGTGATCGTGAAGCACCCGCGCCGCTTCCGTCGTCGACGCCTCTGCTTCACCATCTCATGGCCTAGTTGATCCACTCCACTCTTGCGCACCTTGCTCATCTGCGTATTCGGTAGGTCGTTGCACGTAACACCGGCCGGCGTGACACAATCAGGCCGGATCATCGCTTCCTATCGTCTTTGTTTGGTATAGGTAGTCTGGGTACCTGAATTGGCGGCAAACCGTGCGCCGTCGCAGCATCGCAATCTCCAGCCTAAGAGAGCTGCCACTCGCTGGCGGCCCCAAAATACTGCACTGACGGCGGCGACATCATGACGACCCACTGAAATGGCACATCGCAATCGCAATGCGGATGTCGGCAGAGGCGTCCATGTCATCGCGATCATCCAATGCCTCCGACTCCTTTTCTTTTCCGTGAGGGGTGGTTGATCTTTGGCCACCTGCTGTTCTACGGCTGTTTGCACCACGCCAAAACGACGCTTCCACTGCTCCCCTTCTCTGCATAGTCGGTGAGCGGCTGCCTGCCTCCATTCGAGCGGGAACCCGGAGCAGGTGAGATTGCGCCAAATACCTCCAAGCCGGCGCGGCAATAACGCGGCGAAGCGTAACGTCTTCTCGCCATCTCGCTACTCTGCTTGGTTGCTTGGTGGTGACTTGTCACGACACGGCGTCCTGCGCGCAGTCCAAAAGAATCCTCAGTTCCTCCTTGTGCGGCACAGCGGTCGCACGACCTTCTCTAGGACCCCTCTTCTCCCAGGAGCGCAAGTCGTGGTTGGGTGCAAGGCATAAGCGCCACGCCCCTCGCCTCGTGTGCTGTAATTCCCGCCCCGGCACCATACAGCCTATCGATAGCGGTTTTTTTGTTCCTGCAGTAGCGCTCACAAGGGCGTCATGTGTTGCCGCTGGCTAAACTGTCTCCCGCCAAACAATGGGCCGGCGCTATTCTTGCGCGCTCATACGCAGCTGATCCCTTCTCAGCCTCCTCGAGAAAGCATGACGGGACAGGAATAGTGCAGGAACGATATCTGTGCCTGCTATAGCCTAGGTCCAAGTCAGCAGGAGCTGAGCGCAGCGCCAACCCCTCGTCACGACGACATATCGCGGCTGAGTAAATGAGTACTCTCTAAGAAAAACCTGTCACTCGTCTCATACCCCTCCTATTCTCGCACACATAGTAATGCTTGAAGCACAGATCCCGGTTGTCATTCTCAGGCACATGCGTAAAACACGCCTTTGCTCAGGTACCCCGCAGCTGCCATTGGCTCAACCCTCGGTGCCCGCCTGAAATGTTTCAAGGCATGGTTTTCTGGAACAATGTCAAACTCATGCTACCCTCGACTTGTGCTGAGAGCGTGTGAGACAAGGATCAGCATGTGTAACTCTGCTCGTCATGTTTGTCTTAAGATTTGTCGAGCCAAGCGGCGTAGATCTAAGCAAGGAAAAGCTGTGTATCGATAGCGCACCCAGATCCACGCCACGAGCTTGCGCCCAACTGTTCCACAGATAGTATGACCGGCTACGTTGCTCCCTGTTTTTCTTTTGCGCCGCCGCCACATCGCGCCCTCGAGCCGTGCATCTGCGACAACCGGGAAAGGCTGTTATGTATCGATAGCACGGGGACACGAGAAATAGGATGGCATGAATGTATAGGCCCAACAACATAATAAGCACGATGTCAGCTTAGTACGATCGATCGATCTGATGTAATGTGTACTGCGTGTGAAGAGCTGGGATCAGTTCAGGGGAGCATAGTCGCTGAATACGTACTGCTCTTCTTTGCTCTTGTCATCAACATGATTTCCTATTATGCCTTGACTGGTAGAAGGACTTGGCAAACAAAAGCACAGTATACCAAACATGAGCCAATAACTGCTTTCACTGCTACTGCGAACCGGTCCCAAGAGATTGGGAACTATCAATGACATTAAAACAGGTGTCCAGTATTGCCTGTAACTGTCCGTCTGTAGTCCGGTCTTTCTCCTGCAGGACTACGCGCGCATCGTAAGAAGCAAGCATTTTCTCATGATGTCCCATATCGCTAGGAAACCATGTGCGATCCATAGAGATGGATTGTACCACTGCCAATCCCATGACCTGTTAAGCCCTTACAGCCTCATCCCGTCCCGCAACGGAATCTTCTCCCACGCCTCCTTGAATCCACAACTTCTCACCCAATGTGGCTCTCCAGCCTCTACAGAATCCAACGCCATGTGCCCAATCTTTCTCCACATGTCCTCCTTGATTAACATTCCCTCTTTACCTTCCCACTTCTTGCAAACCGCCTCTGCATTAGCAACCGCTCTTACAAGCTTACAAGCATGCCCATCGTCTTCCACTTTGTTCACCCTCTTGATGACTTCACCTATACCACTATCTTTCGTCGGCGCGTAGCCGTTGATCTCATTTATAAGGAGGGATGGGCAGCCGCGCGATACGTACATGGTGATGTCGTTCCAGACTTTCCACTCTAAAAGGCGGCACTGGGTGGCGGGTGATAGAGAGGAGGCGGGAGAGAGGAAGGCGGAGAAGAAGATGCTGGAGTTCACGCAATGCATGTAGAAAAAGTCGAACTTGACTTGGTGGGGTGGACGTTGGGCGGCGGCCGTGTAGTATACTGTTGTTGTGTCTGCGTTAGTATAATGATGTACAAAGACGTAGAATACAGTTAGATTGGACACGAGTCCATGACATACCAGCGGCGTTGATCATCTCTGCAGTCTTCTCTTCTAGTTCCTCCTCTTTAACTGTATACTGCACCGCATTCTTGATCATCTCTTCTGGTGCTCTCTTCAGGATTCCATCTCGGATCTTATTTCCATCTTCAAAATGCGCTGATTTGCTCAACTTGTCGTCTTTCTTGCACTCATCCAGTATCTGCACGATGGTCTTCCTCGACCCGTCTTTACCTCTTGTCTCTTTAGCGGCTTTCTCGCATCCATGAAATAGCGGTGCCATCCAATTGTCGTGTACAGCGGCTTGCGCCATCGCCTCTGCGATGATGGCTGGCTGTTGGAACTCGATGCCGAACCCGAGATGTATGATGGGATGAAGGAATCCGGCGTACATCCGTACTAGCATGTCATCTGCGTGTCCGGTTCCTGCAAACAGATGTTCTTGTAGTACACGTTGCCAGCCATTTTTATTAATCTCTTGCTGGAAATAGACAAGGAAATCATGATAGTATTTCTCTTGTCCAAGATACAACTTGAAGCGCTCAGGATCGTACATGTCGTCGACGATAGACTCTTTGAGAGGCTCGGGTGGGCGTTGGTAGGTTACGTTTGCATCGTACGCTTTTTGGAGTTCTTCTGGTGAGGCATCGAGCGCAAATAGGGTGAGGAGATGGTGGGCAATATGGTTCTAGACGGGAGTTGTGAGTATTTGACATATTATAATGAGCATTGCTATCTTACATGGAATCCGCTCTGATTGAAGAAAATGTGGTGCTCCTCATGGTTTGTTTGCAACAACTGGCTTGCCTTCTCTGCACTTTCGGGTCTCAGCCCGTTGACATAGTACTGTGGCTTTTGCGATGCCTGCAGATGAACTTTGGACCCGGTAGCCATGGTTCCAAATGCGCTCGAATGTGGAAGGTCAAAATGCCTCGAATGCGCAACGTAAATTGGTATGATTGGTGCACCAAAATTTGGTTTAGGGATAGTCGACGATGCACGCACAGCTCTGGCAAACATTTATAGGGGATGTCTTCAACTTGCCTCTAGTTTCATGTATAGAGGAGGGAGGGTTATGAAAGCAAGAAATGGCATTGTTCGTAAGCTTATGTGGGCGTGAGAAGTACGAAGGCAAGTTGCAAAGCAACCGCTATGACGTTTGTGGGGAACCCTGCAGCTCGCGCCGCCCGCCCCTCCATTACGAACCATGTAAATGTCAGCGCGGATCTTCGGTGCATGCATGACGCGAGGTCACGAGTTTCTTTGTGTCATCGGCAAGGTCTGAAATACTGCAAAATTATTCAGAGAAACATTCTAGATACCGGTACATGATACCATGTCGTATCCTACGTGCGCTACGTGGTCATGAATCCCATTGCCTACCCAAAAACACCTTGCTATGCTTCATATCATGAGAACGAAGAAAGAAAACACTCGTACTTTGGCTGCGAGGCGTATATTATCCAGAATATCTCTTCGCCTCCATGCCCTCAGGTGGTTCGGGTACCACGGTCTTGTTGCCAACGTTGCTCCAGTCGGTACTCAACACTGTACCGCCGCTTTCCTGGTAGCTTTTCATCATGGCGCGCTGCTGCTCAGGTGTAGCGCCGCTGTACAGCTGCTTGAAAAAGTGTGACGTCTCATCGCCTTCAATTTCGTCTTTGTCGTCGAGATCATTGACTACCACCTTGTCCCAATTCTTTGCACCTGACTTGGAGGATGTTGGGTATGCGGGAGCTGTGTCCTTGGTGGTGCGGGCGGCGAGGGTCGCATCGGGGGCTTGGGTAGTGGTAACGTGGCCATCGGGGTGCTCGAGATCATGCCATTTCAGACCGGTAGTTGCCTTTCGCATTGTAATCTCCAACTTGGTGGGCGTGACTCGGAATTTGGATTGCGAGGGGTCGATCTTCTCGTATAGAGGGTCTGCGCTGTAGCTGTATTCTGACGATGAGCCGACGATGGGGAAAGAGACGGACACGGATCGTTCTTCGAACTCGACGCTCAGTTTGTCGTTGGGTATGCCTTTGGCCATGATAGTAAGCGTGACAACTTCAGGCGACTGGTACCAGTCAGTCTTGATCTTGTCTTTCGGGGTCGGCGCAACAGGCTTCGGGGCCTGGACTGGGGTCGAGGCGGGTTGTGAAGCCGTGGGGGGTGCAGCAGGTGCTGGAGTGCTGGGCATGTCGACGTCTGGTGTCTCCTTGATAGTGATGTTCCTCTTCTCATCGTCGTGCGGAACATCCTTCAGCTTGGTTGCGACCTTGGCCTCCCAGATGGGCAGCATCTTGTCCTTTTCATCAAGTCCCTTCACAATCTTCAGCAGGTACTCGGCATCTGCGTATTTTCCGAGGTGGAACAAGGCGACGGCGCGGCGGAATTGGGCGTCCTTGATGAGTTCGCGCGAGCCGCGTTTCTTAGCGAAGACGACGGCGAGTTCGGCATCGCTGAGGGACTCGGCATATTTGGAAGTACGCTGGTAAGCTGTGGCGCGACCGATGTAGTACTTGACGGCGGCGGGGTTGACTGAAAGAGCCTTTGTGTAGTGCTCAATCGCTTCTTCGGGCTTGCTTGCGCTGAGCGCGGCGTCGCCTTTGCGGGCGTCGTCCATGGCGGGGTAATACGTTGTTGAGCGGAAAAACAGGCGTGGAAGCGACGGGAAGGTTTGGGCGTCTGGGACCTTTTATAGAGGCTTGCTCATGGTTGATGATGAAAGCAACTGGGTAATTGTACAATCACAACCGTGGAAGCTTCCATTGCTGCCTTCGAGAACCAGGGTCCAAAACGCCGCTAGCCCACGCCCTCACTTTCACCACCACCACCACCACCACATTCACTCCCGCAGCATCAATTAGAGTCACCACACTCACACAGAGCAAGCAGATACTGGGGAAAGAGCTATTGTCGTATATGTATTACTACACAAAAGGCCCTGCGCCTGCAATGACGAATCAGGTATATATGTAATGCCGACAACGGCAGTCAAAAAACTCCAGAAACCAGAAAACAAGTGCTCTACATCTTTTCGATACGCATGCTCACACGTTACGCTTAGAAGACAAGGACAGCGCCGAAAAGAGCGCTGGCTGCGATCATGCCGACGAAACGAAGGGGCACATCGAGACCAGCAGCAGCACCTTCGTTGTTGCCAGCGCTGCCAGTGGAGCCGGGAGTAGGCGAGCGGGTGGGGTTGCCAGATCCGGGGGTAGCAGTAGACTCGCTGGGTTCGCCAGCAAAGTGCGAGCCATCACCCTCGAGACCGGGTCCCTCACCAGCACCTTCGTCCATGAACTTGACAGCGTTGGCAGGGATAGCAGGGAGGGAGGTGCCCTCGACGTGCCATTCATCAGACTCAGCAGGGCACTCGGACGCCTCGCCGTTCTCCCTGAAGCCACCGTCGCCGCGAGGGTTAGCAGTCGCCTTGTAAGCCTCGGCAAGACGCTCAAAGTCCGCGTTGGGCTCAATGTCGCCGTTGCTGCTGACCTCGACAAGACCATAACCGTTGGGCTCGACAGTGTACTCGTAGACGAGACCACCAGAGTAGACACCCGTCATGTTTGTCGAGTACAAAGCCTCAATCTCACCCCAGTTGCGCTGGTTGGTGATGCAGCCAAACTCAGACAGGAAGATAGGCTTGCTGTAGTCGCTGTACGTCCTGACCTTGGCGTCCCATCCAGACTCGGTGAAAGACGAGGGGTCGCACCACGAGTAGTCGTTGAAGGCAAAGAAGTCGGAGCGCTCGTCATCAGTACCGCAGTTGAAGTAAAGGGCTTGGGACTCGATGTTCTCAGCAACATCAGCAGCCGAGTATCCGACGGGAATGACACGGTTGTGCCTGTTGGAGATGTACTGCTTCATGTCACGAGTAACGGCCTTGATGTAAGGAGCAGCGTTGGTGTTGTTCCTCGCGTTGATGACCTCGTTTCCGGAAAAGAAGAGGAGCAAGTTGTTGTAGTCGGCAAACGCGTCAATGGTAGCAAAGACAGATTGCAGGTAAACATCGTTGTACGAACGGTGGAGAGTGTCCTCGTTCTCTCGGTTGAGAGAGTAGTCGGGTGTGTTGGCATCGAGCGCCAAGTAGATACCGGCGTCATCGAGCATCTTCATACCCTCGTCGTGGTTTTGAGAGTTGTCGATGGTGTAGATACGGATGGTGTTGATGCCGAGCGACTTGAAGTTCTCAACATCGCGTTTAAGACCCTCGAGGTCAAGCAGCGGATCGGCCGCGTCGGCCGCGCCACCTAAGATGCATTAGTATCGTGTTGCTGTTGTTATTGTTTTGTGACAACAAACCTGGCTGGTAGGCGACACCGCGGACGTAGAATCGCTCGTCGCCGGCGAAGAAGGCGTTGCCTCGAACGGTGACTGGTGGTAGGTTTCCCTTGGATTGACGGGCGACAACACTGGCGAATGCTGGGGCAACAGCGGCACCCAGCACGGAGAAGACGACACAGGCCTTCATGACTGGAGTTGGAGAAGAAGTGGAATTAAAAGGCAAATAGAAGAGCGATTGGAAGTCTAACGAGTGACTGGTAAAGTAGGAAAGGTAAATCTCACACAGAGAACATACAACTGTTGAGGTAGAAGCCGGGATGGTCAAACTATTTGAAGCGGCAACAGAGCAATTTCTTGGTTCCCCCGAGTGCTACATGTGGAACTTGCCAACCCTCATGGTCTGTCTGGCGCCGCTGCGCGCCAAGTCGATGGGTGTTGGCATGCGCGCAGGAATCGCGGAGACCAAGCAGCCAAGTCCATAGTCGTGAATTAGCAGAAGCCCGCCGAGCCTTGGTCAGGGGCAACAAAGCCAATGACTGGCAGGAGCATGCCTGGTAGACGTCTTGATAGCAAGTGAATTGCGCGTCCGTTGATTTCCCGCCGCTTTACACAGCCTCGTTGAGACAGTCAAGACTTGTTCGTTCGTTGCAGGTCAATTCACCGTCGCTGGAGGCGAGCGCGCGCTCATGAAACGGCAGAGCGCTTGGCTCTCGAGAGGGAAATGACGGCCAGCATCGCATTCCAGAAGAGCCCTGTGGAAGGATCAGTACCATGGAAGGGCCTTTGCTGACGACATAGTTGCGGTCATGCACAGGCTGCAGCTACAATCGTGATGCCACGATTAGTTCTCCATTCTCTTGGGCGGCATGTTTGCCGGGTCGCTGACAGCACTTGTTGCGGGCCGTGGAGATCCGAAGCGAAGCTTTAGGCAGAAAAAGCAGCCTGTCCATCTACTCGGGCATATAGATTGTTGACATCGATAGGCGAATTGTGAGGTTTACCATGGTTGGTTTCGAGGTTGGAGAGTTGACAGCTGTCGCAGCCGGGGCCCCGACGTTGACACCCGCGGCGGAGATGGCCCGGCCGGTTGGTCGCTTCCGACGCGTGTCGCTCTCGTCCACCAGCGTTCTCTCAACACGACAGGTTACCGTGGATATACCGATGCTGCACAAACAAAAAGTTTTGTGAGTCGACAGATGATGCGTTTTCGATGTTCGGAATTGATCGCACTTCCTGTGGCACCCATTCCACGCAGCTCATCTGCGGCAACAAGTAATGACACCGAAGAGTTCTGCGACGACAAGTAAAGCTTCCACTGTTGGCCGTTAATGCCGTGGGTGACCAACCTCTTCAGCTGCGCTGCTTCTTCCTGCTTCCTTGCTACGAGACATGTTTCCAATGTGTTGGTGTGACAACAGCGTCTTGTTCAGTCCAAAGCCGCTCCTGCTCAGGAAGAACTCATTGTTACAAAGAGGTGGACGCGTATTCATAAAGAAATTCAAATACAACAACTACCATCCATACATGAGGGAAAACTGGTTCACGTGAACATACAACGGCGAGTTCTCCGAAGAGATGTCACGCATTGGCTCTCGATGCGTTACTATTCTGGTCAGCACAACAGACGCAGCTATTCTCCCAACCCGTTTGGACCCCACAAATATATGCCATTAAGATGACATAAGAGGAGATTAATATGCGTTCGTTGTCGTTGCGCCCAACTATAGTTTCAGGTGCAACACGCCCCACGTAAACCCCGGTCGCATTCATCGCAGCGGACGAACCACACGCGAACTGCAGGCGCTACAAGGGTAAATCATCCAACCGCGAGGTTCGCGACCCGATAAATAGCAATGCAAACGCGCAATAGGTCCAGATGATGAGAGACCCAAGTGAGGCGCGGTGTATTGCGGCGCGGACAAAGCGAATCCTTGCGTAGGTGTGAGATGATAAGAGTCCTTCTTGACTGCTCACGCTTGAGTACACGAAAACCACTCACAGTCCCACTGCCAAAATGCTTCGAAATACACTCTTGACAGCTTTGCCGCTTCTCGTGAAGGCTGCGTACCTTGACCCATCGCTACAACAGCAGAAGCCTTTGCTGAACCCCAAGCCAGCATCTGGCCGTGTGTTCCCCATTACAGTATGCTCAAGATTGACCCTACGTTGCTCTAGACCGATCTAACAAACCAATAGCTAGACCATGATCTTCACTACACCTTCATCAACTCTCCTCCTGTCTTCGACTTGAAGCCTCTCGAGCACCTCCAAAACTCAATGGCCAGCTACAGCGCCGGAGGACCCATTCAAGAAACCATACTCGTCAACATTCCTCTCAATAGTTCACAGCCCGGCACCGCCACTTTCTACACCATTTCTGAATCAGATTCATGGTCGCAGGCTGCCAATCAATTCACTTGGATGCAACAGGAACGACTACATCTCCAACCCATTCTCGGCGCTCAACTCCCCTTACTAGGTATCGGCATAAGAAAGAGCGGTATGATCTCTATGCCTGCTGAATCCGCCACTCTCGATCTAAGCACACCATATATCCATGTTCCGAAAGGCATTTGGGACGTCTTGCTACTGGCTACCAGTACAGAACAGCAAGCCAGAGATGGCAACGAAATGCTGTATGTTGATTGTGGAGCTTTGAACATCTTCCCTGACCTGGTATTTGGGGTCGAGCGAGAGGGTTTTGAAGGAGGAGTTGAAGAGAATGATGGAGAGAACAAAGAGGACGACGATGACGATGTTGACGAACTGGTTGTCAAACCCGAACAATACATACTACAGACCGCAGAGGGGAGATGCATGCTCTTAGCTAGAAATGCGGATTCTTGTCATGACGACAGGGGAATAATCAAACTTGGCTGGGCGGCGGTCAGGGGTCGTGATGTGGTGTTGGATTGGCACGGGTCAAGAGTTGGCTTTGGAAAGCAGACCTGAGAATCTGAGGAAGGAGCGAAGGATACTTGACACCTATGGTCATCAAGTTAATGTTCATAATCTTTAGCGGATGAAATGAAGTAAATCGGGTTGACTTATGCCGGTTCGACATTCCCGCGAGAGAATATTGAAGAACGGTACAGAACCATGCAGACATGAACAAAAGGTTCGCACATGGTGAAGGAGAAAAGCATGTTACTATAAACGATCACTACTCGATCTACATCAAACAGAAACTTAGCGCGACAGCGCCGACAGAGACGAGCAGGTGAACCCAGCCTACTCTTAGTCCACTCGCCGCATCCTCATCATCGTCACCCCCTTGCGCACTTCCATCTCCGGAACTTTCCGGATTCGAATCTCCTTTTCCTTGTTGCTGTTCCTTGTTCGTTACACTTCCTGCCACGCAAGCGCCCTCATCCATGCCTCCGTTGTTTCCAAACGCCACATTGGCCGTCTTCTCCCACAACCTTGTCACGTTGAAGTAATCCTCAGGCTCGTACCAGATCCGACAACTCGCCGTATCGTTGAGAAACTGTGTTGGCACACCCGCCGACTCAAAGCCTGCACGGATGTTGTCCTGGAAGTTGACGCTAGCGTCGATTACGGCGATGGGCGGAGTTGATGGGAGGAACTCGGCCCAGTCGTTTGCTTCGGAGCGAGACGACGCGAATTGCGAGGTGACGTATTCGGAGAGGGCTTCCATGTAGAGGGAAGGGATTACCAAGGTGCCTTTTGTGCCACCGACGGCTACCATGGGACCAAGGCTAGGGCGGCCGCCAATAGCGAGGCTTCGTACGCCGGACTGTTGGACCATGAGTTCGGTGAAGATGGAGCATGTTGAAGCGCAGACGCCGTCAGTTAGCAAAATGATGTCCTCGGCGCGGAAAGGGTCCGTAGTAAAGTTGCTTCTCGAGTTGTAGCCCGTCATGGTGATTCCTATGGCGGTACGCTCGTTGCTTGTTGTCAGGGGATCACTTAAGTTGTATTTGAGTAGGGCGGTGAACTTGTCGTTGTTGAATCGCTCGGGTGGGTACATGGCTTTCCAGTCTGGGAAGTCTTCGCCAGTGGAAGAGAGGTAGGCGTCGTTGCTGAAGGGGCTCGTGAAGAGTTCGGCGTTGAGGAGGTTAATCTCCTTGAAGCTAGATATACTCTCGCCGTAGACCTCGCTGGCTCGGTGTCCGCGGTATCGGTTCTGTGTCTGAGGTTCCTGGGATGGGAAGAATTGTAGGTACATGTCATAACCCGAGAGTACTTTGCCACCATTATTGGCACGTATATCAATAATGTGTTTCTCCACGCCACGGGATTGGGCTTGCGAGATGTACTCCTGAATTACGGCTTGGAATTCCTGTGCACCTGCAACGTCCTCGGTATTGAATGTCGTCGCTACAAGAACACCGATTTCGCCAGCATTGGTATTGATGAAGAATCCGGCCAAAGGCACCTGATCCGCCGAGTGAGCAATGACGGGATCTGGGTAAAGCAATGGCACTGAGCTGTGTTGTTGTGCAAATGTACCCCTGAATTCATAGTCGCGCGGGTTCTCCAAATGCATGGGTAGTTTAGTAGGATCCCTCTTCTTGACCCTAAATGAGCTCGTCTCAGGTCTAATGTATGTATCATAAAATGACTCAGGATCGCTGACATAGCTCCAAGTCTGAGGATCCACAACGATGGCACCATTGCTATACGTATCAGTTGTTCCGTTCTCGAAAGTAATGTTCGTCGTAGAACCAGGGTAAAACCTTGGACTGGTAAAGTACCCGTAATTTTCTGCGGCCTGTGAAAAGAACATGGCATTGAACCGAGTGTCCGGATCGTGGTAAGAGTTCAAGTTCGCCTCGTCCGTCAAAAACTGTACAACGTCCCTTCCGTCGATTTGTGTGACCGGCGAAGGTTCATAATCAACAGTGCCATTGAAGTCCCCCAAAGCCCAGATTTGGGGCATCTCGCTCCCATCTCTTGACGCTGAGACCAAAGCAAAAGCGCTGCTTCTTCGCCATCTGAAGACTCCTGCATATGCCATACCGTTCCAGCCGAGATGCCCATCGTGCGCCTTCACCATCAAAGATGCAATGTCGTTTTCAAAGTCGAATTCATTGCTGTATTGTCCGGATTCGACGTTGCTTTTGATGCTGTCTAAGCCGGCAACGATATCGACAGCATCATTCGGCCATCCCTTGGGTGGGTCTTTGAGGTAGTTGAGCGTCGATTGAAACTCCACCATCTTCTTGATCTCATCTACTGTCGAAGATGCGGAGGTTGAGTAGAAAGGCAGTGACTTGAGGCATGCGTACGCTAGTGCAGCATCCACGACTGGGAACTCTGAGAAGTCATCCGCCACTAGCTCGGCTATGTCTCCACAAGCCTGGCTCGTCTCTATCGGTCCAGAAACATTCTCTGTGGTTGTCGGGTCAAGGTCAATGTCGTCTACTGATGAGGGCGTTGGTGTCGACGTTGGCACGATATCGAATGACTGTGAGGCGTCTGTGGCTGTGACCGATTGTGCTGTTGCAACTGCTAGGAGCGCTGAGAGCGCTATGAAGGACCTCATGGTCTAGGGGGCGTGCAGACTGTACGCTGGATTGTCCAAAACTGTGGATGTAGATATAGAACGGTACGGTACGAATGGCGTCACCCGTACGAGGGTTGTGGACGTAACTTGTTGAGTAGTCAAGAAGGTGTCTAGTTTTGTGTTTGATCCTTCTCTTCCTGAATACAACAATGTCTTCGAACGTCAATCCTAGTCGTAAATCTTCGTACCTTCCGCTTGCGCTAGAGTTTTGTGGATTCTTCTCGAAATGAGCGCCTCTATAGGACGAAAACCGATTGAAGAGTGCCTCTCCGATCTCGTGATACACGTTCCTCAGCCCAAATCTCTCAAACCAACTTCGATGGAACTAGAAAGTAGCCTCCACACATGGGCACCATTGCCATCTTAATCACAATGCACGTAGCATAGCCTTGTTACCTGTCAAGGCCGTAACCCGCAACAGCCGCTGCCTAAAAACGCCTCTCGACTCGTACACGTCTGCCGCGCTCTGTTTAGAGTCTTGGCTATGAGGGCCCTGCGTATCCCATGCCTGGTACACGTCGCTCAAAGTAGGCTGGCGTCGTGGCTGTTTTGGCATGGTAGGCAAATCGGATTGAAGAACATGTGATATAAGTGGAGATGCACGGGTACGCGGGACAAGCGTGCTCCTTCGTAGCGGCTAAATCCTGTAGCGTCGCTATTGTGCAGCGCTGCACTTCGAAATTGGAACCCCGATTTTGACGTTCCATGCTTCTCTGATTTGTACTTCCGTCGGCAACGGTCCGTGAGGCTGAACGTCAATGTCACAGCTTGTACTGCTTGACCGTTCTGGGTAGCGAACTTTTTCCTCCACTGTGCGCGCGCCTTCTGTGCCAAGCATGAGGGACGCCCACTGAAGACGCTTGATCCGGTGACGAAACGAGATTGGCTGGACGCCTCAATCATTCCATCCACACAGCCTCATCATACCGGTGAGGTAATAGCCTGCCGTGGCGCGCCGAACGATTTTGTGGAGTGAAGACGCGCCGAATTGTCCGGTCGGCTTGGATGCCTTGAATGTAACATGTAGGATCTATGGACGCCTTGTATGCCTGAGGCGCATCGCTCGTTGGTGTGCAGACGAGAAGCAGGCAGTAGTTGTTATGTATTGAGGTTTCGGCCAGGAGACAGGGGATATAACAATCGTAGGATACATGTCAATGAATGAGGTTAGCAATGAGTTCATGATCGACTCAATATGATCAGTTTGTTTGAACCTTTTCATAGATCCTGCTATGCCATTGGCGAAAGCTGGGTACACCGCTTTACTTCTTGATGCCTACCACAACAAGGTTGCGTGGACTATACTTGTACTCGAATACCGGCTCAACCCACGCGTGTTCGACCTCTTCCTGCTCCTTGAGCCACAGGTATCGGTCCGTGACCACAACAGCTTCCACTACGCCGGCACTGAAGGCCATCAAACTCCACATAACGCTTAGTTCCTTTTTCCTCTCAGCATAGCTCACTTCGTAGTCTCTGATATCGTCATCTGTCAACCCATCCATCTTTTCTTTGATAAAGTTTGGATCAACCTCGCAGAAAGAGTTCTCAGCGGTGAGTTTTGCTAGTGCGGCGCGGACGTAGGAGACGAAATCGCTGTAGGCAAATTTGCGCAGGGTACCGATGGTAAGTGGCGTAGTTTTGCCGTCAGACGAGAGGCCAGGACCGCGGCCATTTGGTGGTGTCCAGTTCACCTGAGAGGTGTGACCGTTAGCTGATACCGCCCCGCCAACGAGACCTTGTTCGTCTAAAGGTGCAGAGACCACGCCACGATCTAGGAAGATACGCTGAAGCAGGGCTCGATAGAAATGACGGGTGAAGAAGAGTTCTGAGTCGGTCACACCCCAGTTGAAAGGGGCTTGCACAGCCATCATGCGTGCTGTGATATTGAGCCGTAGACCTGTTGGTTGCCTGACTTGTTCACCGTCTGCTTTCGAGTCATCATGAAAAGATTCCAGAGGCGTATGTGGTAGGGGGTAGTTTGCAAGTCTCTCAGACATGGGAAATCCCTGTGGATCGAAGGCTTTGGAAGTAGACTCCAGGCGTGGGTGATTAGGACGGAGCGTAGGTAGCTTGTAGGTAGGAGGGCCAAGGCGCTCTGTGAGCAGATTGTAGCAACATCCTACCATTGCTACCGCGGAGATATGTGAGTTGAGAAGCATGGAGCGTAGCCCATAATGAACGAGGTTGCCACATGAGTGCAGTGAGATTACCATCGCGTTTACGTCCTTCGGTTTCGGTACAGCGTTCAAGTTGGTAGCTTCAGCAACCACAGAAGTCTCCGAGCTCACAATCTCCTCGGGTACACGTGAGCTGTCCAGGACCTGGTCAATGACGGGTGTCAGATCGCCATCCTTGATCATGTGCTCGACATACTGCACGCTACCATGACCTTCATTGTATATCTGTAGCGTAGAAGTCTTCGTAGCCGGGGTTCGATCTGTAAACCCGCTGGCCTCGGCAGAAATTTCAGCAGGTGCAGGTTCTGAGACATTCTGCGAGACTTGGTGTAGCACACAGCCACCCTCATCGCAGCTCACACCATTTTGAAGTGGTGACGCTAGATCAGTGTTTTGAGTGGCTGAACCAGATGGGGCTTCCTGGTTATGCTTGTTTGTCCCCGATTCATTCTCCTTGGCCTCTTTGCCCTTTTTCACTTTGCCCATCTTGGCGCGATACTCCTTCTTGTTCCTCATGACGGTGGGTTTTGCTACCAATTTGGCCAAGATGTCCATGTTCTTTGCTCCTTCGATGTTATGCTGTTTACTTTCTACAGCGACGATATGCTTAGAGTAAGGAGGTGCAGCGAGTGCGCGTCCAAGGTAGTTCTGACCTGAGCCGAAATCCACAAGATGGGTAATCGGTTTCTTCTCAGACTGCGCTATCTCGGAGGTGAGTCTGTCAATATAGCGCGCAAAGTTATCAACTTCGTGCACTTTCTTGACCTTCATGCCAGTTGCGATGTGACGAGATATAGCAGGTTTTTGAGGCTCAAGGCCGGAGTTGGGTGGAGGGAAGTCACGAGCCAACAGATGTTTCCGTACAGTACGGATGTACTGCAGGAGTTCTTCAGGCGGTGCAGGACCATTCCGCCAGGTTTTGTCGTTAACCTGTCCTTCCGGATCGAACTGACTGAGGTCTTCCCTCATCAAGAGGTCCAAAATGTCCATGATATCTCGCGTCTTGAACCATTCTCGCCATGACTGTGGCAAGATGTGCGAATAGAGACTAGGTGACCTGGTGTAAAAGTCCAATATATGGACACCTCCACATAGTGTCTGGAGCAGCCATGAGGAAGTCGTCAAGTGCAGCAATGACTCGATGTATTCTTCAGGATTGGTGAAGTCGGGGGAAAGGGGAAGAGGCGTGTCCGGACCCATTGCGTCATCCAATCTCTTTTACGCGGAGGGCGGTATTGTTGCGTATCCGCGATCTTGGTGAGTGCGCCATGGAGAAAGTGTGGTGGAGTTGGGTGCTCATTGTGGGTGATTTTTTTGGGAAGGTGGGTCCGTGCCGAGGTGTTGAGGCGCGTCATCGCTTGTACTGGACAGCGTATCGACACGCTCCGACACCTTCACCCAGGCTTCATCGACCGCCATCTTGCTTCACGGCTATACTCTGGAGGGACAGTCGGTGTCGCACAGCGCAAGATGATGTCATCACAGAACGACGAGGATCCTTTCCTCCAGGTGCAGGCGTAAGACGGCTCCATTCGCGGTTTGGGCATCTCCATTGACACGTGCTATAGAGACGTATTGTCTGCCCTCAACACGGCGCGCCCGCTCTTCAAGTCGTATCTGCGTATCCGTTCCTCGGCCTCGTCGGCAAACAGTCCCGAGCTTCGGGAAGCGCGCAGCGAACTTGAACAGACGCTCCAAGACCTTAGTCAGGACCTCGAGGACCTAGTCGAGAGCGTCAAGGCCGTGGAGCACGACCCCTATCGCTTCGGCCTGGAGATTGATGAAGTCGAGCGACGGAGGACGCTGGTCAAGGATGTTGGCTATGAGATCGAGAACATGCGCGAGGAACTGCAGCAGACAGTCCAACACGCGAAGAACAAAGCCAAGGTCGCGGCCAATGGCGACGTCCTGCCCGACCCGGACTCCTTCGAGGATGAGGACAACTACGCGGCCTTCGAGCAGGAAAGACAGATGGAGATGATGCACGAGCAGGACGAGGCTCTGGACGGCGTCTTCCGTACTGTCGGCAACCTGCGACAGCAAGCCGATGACATGGGTCGCGAGCTTGAGGAGCAGGGCGAACTGCTCACCGATGTCGACAATGTGGCAGACAGAGTCGGCGGTAAACTTCAAACAGGTCTCAAAAAGGTCGGCTGGGTCATCAAGCAAAACGAAGGTAAGATTCGTGCTATCCGTGCACCGGGCGTCGCTGACCGACCCTCCCAGATTCCTGGTCCAGTTGCTGTATCGGCGTCCTCATTTTCGTCCTGATCCTCCTCCTCGTTCTACTCTTGTTCCTTTGAGTGCCGAATTCTACCTCAACCTCAGGCATACACGGAACACGTCCTTCCGAGCCCCCAAACGCCGAAACACCAGCGCCGAGCACCATACGTCCTCTTGTTTGCACTAGCTCTATCATAGTATGATCGACAGTCACAGCCGGCGGCACCGCATCGAATCTGCACACGTCGTTGCCGACGCACATACAACAAGAAACCCGAGACTTTGTCGCAAAGTTGCCGGATCCCGTTTCTTGGCTTGTATTGCCGGTGCTATTATGCAGGCAATTTATCTGGGGGACCCATCCTTCATTAGCGCTTTTGCATGAATGCATTGCGTATGCAGTGAAGATGCCCTGTGACAACGAGCTGACTCCCACCGCTCCATCACGTACATGAAGAATACTCCCATAGTATACGACTAGCAGACGTGGTGCCATCGAGCGGGACTGAAATGCTGCACGTTTCTTCGATTGCCGCCTGTGCATGGATGAGTATGAGAGCCCTCACGCCAACGACGGCACCCATACATAACGTCTGTTCGGTACACAGAGTTTTCACATAATGTAACAAAGACAGTTAAAATCAGGGAAGAGCAGTATGTGCGAACGGACCAGCCGCTCAAGACAGGTAGCGTTGCCTCTGAGACATCGCCTGTATGAGACGTTCAGGCTCTATCCAAGAACTTCTTGAAAACCACAATCGTCATTGCTTCTTATTAGGCCGTTCTATACCCAGTTATACCCTAGCCACACTTTCCCCAATGTCCCGCTGTTGTGCTTGCGATAAGAATACCGCCTTGCTTCCGCTTGCGAGTCATCACTCACTGCATGGCTGCGTCGCACTACAGCCACAGCGATGCTGAACAACCGCTCACCAATTCAGAAATCAAAACGGTCAAAACCAGCCTCAGAATTCCGCGCCGAAAAGTCACTCTCATCTGCATTACTCTCCTTCTTAATGTGTTGCTCTGGAGTGCCATCATATGTCTTGTCACTTCACTCTACCAGATAGTATCGGATCCACGGGATATAACAAACGTTGCGCCCGTGGTCTTGACGTTAACTTCAGTATGTGCTTGGAGTCTTGCAGCAAAGAACAACACTCACTGGATCTCACAGGCTCTCACGACAATCGCATACACTTTCATACATACAGTTTTTTCCCTCAAACAAAAGACATGGGAGCAGCAACAGCGACACACTTCAGCTGTCAAGAAGACTTCCTACGTTGCCATTCGCCTAGTGATTTCGCTATGCGTCTTGTGGCTGCTGACGACGGGATGGAACATGATAATTGTCGCCAGAAGACCTGTTTGCTTACATGAGGCGCCCGGACTTCAAGGTTGGGAATTCGGTTCTACTTGCTTGGGAAGCCGTATTGGCATCGCGTTTGCCGCCATATCGCTGTATGTCGAAAACTGTTCCTTAAGCTTGTGCAAGGTTTAATTGTGTCACTAGAGTCACGTCATGTGTGCTTTTTGGAGTACTTGCCGTTGTCAATCGTCCCTTCGAGGCTCATCTATTTAGGCATGGCTATCAAAAGCCTGCAGATATATCGCGTTCGCCACATCCTTCCTTTGGGCCACCTCTAACTAGAAACCTAACATGGACATTGGAGAAACGTATTGATGACCGACCTAGGTCTGTATCGACACACAGGAGCAGATCGTTCGAGACGGTCAACCGAAATAAGGGTCTGGCACCAACAATCGTTTCAGCTCCTTCTGGAGTTCGCTCACCGGACTCCAGGATTTTCACTTCACCTTATGCGCCGCCACCCATACCTCCTGCTTACATAGCGGCACAGCGCAACTCGTCAGCCTATACTTCAGATCGCTCATTCCATTCGTCCATGAACCGTGGTTCCTTGACACGTCCGCCTCGGTTGTCTGGTAGTATGCGAATTCCCGAGTCTGTACCTTTGTCCGTACCAGCCCAGTATCCAATGTCTACATGGCGCGCCATACATCCCGAAGGTCCTGCTTCAGTTCCACTATCGACACACTCGCGTCCTCGTTCTTACAGCACTGAGTTATCTTATCAAAGTCAATACTCTCGCTCCTCTGTATTTCTTACTCGTCCAGCTCGTCTAAGCACCTCAAGATCTAGTTCGCGACATAGATCTGATGAGTTGAAAGGTCGAAACGACCAGTTCTCGAGCAGCATCATTGAGAGCAAGAGCGCTAGCCTTAGAGGGGGTGCTTATGCCATCAAGCATGATACACCTCTAGCTCATACGGAACATGTCAAACGTCAAATTGGGCACCATACGCGCGCGGCCAGTGCCCCACAGGCTGCCTCACACAGAGAGTTTCAGAAAGAGCCTGAGGTAAAGATCGTCACACGTAAACCAGTGCCAGTTCGGCAATTGAGATCCGCTAATCGTGTGGGAATCTCAAGCGCTTTCATTTATGCTGAAGCAGCAGAAGATAGCGTCAACAGGATGTTAAGCGACTCCCGGAATAAATTGGGAAGCGCTGGGTCAGTGAAGGCAAGAACAATGACCTTCGAGCAAGTAAAGAACAAGCCATTGCCGAAGATTGCTATCTTTAGCGTCGAGCTCGATGGACATGTGGTACCAACTAAATGAACGAACATCGTGGTATACAAACAACGCCAAGCCCCTCATTCGCGGCTCTTAGAAACCATTCCATAAGCATGAAGATCGACACAGCGTCAACCAACAACGAAAGCAAGCATGTTGCTTTGGGAAACGCCGACATGGAAACAAACGGTGGAACGGGCCGCTCATACGTCAACTCACTGTCGTTTAAGGCGCATCTCTGGTCGTTGCTGATGGGCTACTGTTGGTCGGCCATAGGGTCAGCAGCGCCATCCGTCAGCTTACAACGGACGGCGGGTGACTTACCAGGCCGCAACCCGGATGCTGGTCAGACCTCTTACTCGCTAGATACAGCTACCCGAGCCAGTAATCTCTGCGACATCTCTCGGCCATGACTTATCACCACCAACGCTGACCATTTACGATCGCTTCGTACTGGCAGACCTTGCCGGTGAGCTCCGCTTCACTTTGCACGGTCCATCTTCTTATGTGTCCTACGCTAGTCAATCGGGAGAGGATGGCCACTCATCACACCTTATGGAGCACCAGATGAACTCACCTGCAGTACCTGAGTGCCAGCTGTGAATGATGAGTTATGTCTCCATGGTGGCTTTAAGCATCAAGTCGGGAAGCAAGTAGCGCGTTGACTATCCACAGCCGACATTTGCCGCTCTTCAAGCATATACATAGGTCAGCAGAACAGGAGAGGAGAGAGCTCGTAAGTGTAAGAGTTTTACTAGCACGGGCTCATATACGAGTTCTAACGTCATCTTTTATGTACCCATGTGATAGCAAAGGCGGTTTCACGCTCAATTGGGTGAGCAATCAACAACATCACTTTCTCAACTTGACGAAGTCTTGTTGTTTGGCGGCTTATCTCACTTCCATAAAGACATCAGCAAGGTCTTTACCATTGACTGACGTATGTCATACCGCCAAAGAAAATGCGCCACCAACTGGAAAGGTTGGAAATATTCCAAGCCCAGAGCTTCTGTAGCATTTCACAGGGAAAAAGAGCCTTTGCTATGCATCACAAAATTTACGGGAGCGGTGAAATACTGAGTATATCGGAGGCATAGCCCTTCTGCTATAAAGCAGAGTTCAGTTCCAAGGAAGAGGTGCCAGCCTTGCTACATTTATTCATACAATCGATCAACAATACTATTACGTTTCAATATCCCGATCGCCATGATGCAGTTTGCAACCCATGCCGCCTTCCTTGCCTCCATGGCCCTGACCGCTACTGCCGCGCCTGTCAATAGCATCAAGGTTCGCCAGGAAATTCCGCATGTTCGTGCCACTTGGACGTGATACCTCTGCATGTGCGAAAGCTATTCAAGGACATGCCTAACCTTCACATCAATCTCTAGTCTATCGCGACACTGGATGTGGCCGCGATGGAAGCTCGTACGGCGATGACTACGACCCACTCCAGAACACCACTGCCACCGGCCTCAGCACGTGCATGAACCTGCCTCCAAGCTTCAGCTTCGCTAGCACTTACTTCAACGAGACTGGGAGCCTTACCAGAACAAGTATGTCCTTACAGTATGCCAACGAGATTCGGGCATGGGAAACTAACCAGTGACATCTAGTTCGTTTCTACGACCTCCCTTGCTCTGAACTTACCACTATTGACAGCGGATATCACATCGATATCACACCTGGTTCGGTTGGTTGCCAGACGCTGACACTCAAGTCTTATGTCACTTTGTAGAAGAGTTGGTATGATGAGGAATCAATCAGCGAAGGGAACGAGAATAGCTCTGTTGGGTGGTAGTATGATGTGATTTGAGTCGGGACCAAAACTCCGATTCTCATTACAGTGGGGATTGGTGCGGGAAGTAACTTACATATCCTAGATTCTTCTAGTCCCTCGCTTATAGCAGAATACAATTACGCGGGGCAACCCAGCATGCAAAATTACAACAATTTGAATGGCATACTGGCGGGAATACGACATAAGTGCATGACTTCTTCTGACTCTTGAAAATTGGCCAATTCCTCTGTGTTCAATTTGTAACTTCTGTTAGACAAACGCAAAAGACCTGTCAGCTTGCAGTGGACGGATTACAACCTATCGATGCTGTCTTTCGGCACGTGGGGGAGTATGCATGTACGGCAGATCAGCTTACATGCAAGATCTAGAGGCTTAGAAAGCCGTCTTCAAGACGTGACATGAAGATTCAGTCCACGCAGGTGGATGTTTTTGTCGCTACCTCGTATAAATCCACCAACCACCAGCCACGAGTGCACTCTCATTCGTGTTATATCGCCTCTCAGCTCATAGAATATTCCTAGAAGGCCCTAGTCGCTCCATAAGAACTTCTCACACAGCATCATATGTACCATATCAGACCAAGCTCATGCGAAACGATGCAAGCCACTAACTGCGCGATCAGAATCGAGCTCCATAGCGAAATTGGTGTAGCAACGCAATACGTAACGTCAACGGTGCTTATACCAATGAACCGATAGCTATGTGATGGCACGGGAACCCCAGCGAGACATATAAAGCAAGCATTACACACCTACTCGTCTTTACTCCTTCTCTCATCTTACCATCTCGTCTCATCATCACCTTATCTCTCGATTCATCTATATCAAAAATCCTCTACTTCCAAATTCCAGCCATGCAGCTTACCATTCTCACCTCTCTTCTCGTCACTGCGCTCACAGTGAGCGCCACCCCTGTCGAACTACAGGAGAAACGTCAACTTGAAGGTGCTGCTCGCGTCTACGCCCGCTTCTATCGGGATGGCGGTTGCGGTCCCTCTCCATGGGCCGAGGATACTGTCTTCCTTCAGTCTGATACTGTGGGACTTGCTGGATGCCAGGATCTGACCGTTGGGCCGTTCCCTAGCACCTTCTTCGATGTCAACAACTTCAGCAGAACTGGTACGTGATACATCATAGTACGTAGGAGTAATTCGCTAATACAGATAAAGTGAGGTTCTTCAACCTGCCTTGCTCTCAGCTCACTTCAACTACGAGCGGAAACTTTGTCGATATCAAGCCCGGACAGGCCCCAGGGTGCCAGAACTTGGCCATCCGCTCTTGGGTTACCATCTAGGTAGCCTCGCATCGTCGGATGTTAAATTCGCGATTGATGCGAAAGCGGAAAGATAGAAGGATCGAGAGTTGCAGAGAAATTGTGAGATCAGTCGGGTCCAACACTCCGGACTTGTCTTGCGGGTGTTATTTCCTATCTTCTAAGTCGCTCATTTGATAACAATACAAGATCTTGGGGTTGCCCCCGCTCATGAATGCACAAACACCTCTGATGCAACGTGGAAATAACCTGGCAATCGTGTGTGGGAACATTACAGCAGAGAAATGACAAATTCAACACAATAGTCGTCAATATTTGGAAGAATAGTCAATCTTTTTTGGGGTTTCTCTACTACTTCCTGTCTGGCTTCTGGTTATTCGTTTACCTTGGACGATAAAAGCATATGGCTCAAATACGATTAGAAATATTCCCGGGAAAAGTTCGTACGATGAACACTTTCGAGGTCCCCTAGTGCACGTGGCGAGTGAAGGATCAAGTGTACAATAACTCCTCTTTGTTTGCCTCGCCTCGTGTTGTGTTACGCCCCCTCACCAGCCCCGCCGCAACCGTCTCTGTGCTACTGACAAAGAGTCAAAAGAAAAAAAAAATACTTCCTCCGGGATCATCCTGCTACTTCTTACTCCATTCACTTACTCAAAATTCTGAACAGCTACCTCCTTTGCATACTCGCGATGCGTCTCCTCAATTTGATTCTCTCCAGCGTCTTTGCCATCTACGTCGTAGCGGCTCCTACAGGCTCCGAGCTACGCTCTCCACTCACCATTCCCGTTCCCGGCTCTACAGCATACAATGCTGATGTCGCGGTAGCCGTCGCCTACGCTCGCTCTCAGCCTTCCTTTAACACTGTCAAGGTGTCTGCTACCACCCCAAAACAGAGAAGGTGTGGCGAGTACAAACCTGCAAACAGGTCTGGCTTTGAATTTGTATATTCGACTGGACTGTTACTCTGCGCCGAGACAGAGCATGACGAGGAAATGGAACGGTTCACTAACTACCACTGTGGAATTTGTATGGTCTTTGATAGTAAGTGTGGCGGTCATTTCCTATTTCCCTAATACAACCACTTTCGACGCGGTGTAGCGTTAAGAAAGATAGGATCACTAATGAATTTTGTAGAATCTCAATGCCAAGGCAACTTGATAGGATATTGGGGTCCGGCTACCCCTCCGATGGAACTCCCGGCCGACAAGTCCCATTGGGCACATGGCGGCAAGAGTTACTGGTGCGTTTAAGGGAGACCGCAGTTGCTATGACCTCTGCAGGAATGAGACTCAGTTAGCAGCTAAGGTGCAAACAGTGATCAGGAGTGAAGACAGATGGTACATGGAGGATGAAGTTTTCCAAGTTGAGTAATAACGAGCCGATGACCATATGTGTCAATCACACAAAAGCAGCGCTTCATTACCTCTCGCAGAGGAAGCTGGAGAAGACAATCCGTGTCAATAATTGAATGCAAATGAAGATTGATAAAGGAACCGTGAAGAGTCGCTGATGACACTGACTTATATGTCACAAGTTATAGCCAACGCATAACATCCTAATATTTTTTCCTCTCAATCATCTTACGAACGGACAAGCATTTCCTCCTTGTCTTCTCCCTATCCCTTCTCAATTTCCAATGTATCCCCAGCGCCGACCCATTAACAACATAAACATCACAGCAACTTGGACAAACATACCGTTACATGTCAAACTTGGCATTTCACAAGCAGAAATGGATGCCCATCTAGCTTTGCACGCGCACGTGCACGATTACGAAGAATGCGAGGGAGTGTGTGAACCAAACTTGAAATCCGAAGCGGATGAACAAGCATGTCTGGACGCCGTGGTAGAGACCAGGAAGTTGGCGGAGGGAGAAGCCGTAGAAGGGAATAGAAAGCAGCGTTCAGATGGACGCGACTTCAATACGAAGATGGCGTCGAATGAGTATGTTACGGCTGTCATCAGTTTCAGTGACGAAGCCACGGTGGTCAAAACAGACAAATGTGCTGAGAAGATGGCCACCACAAGTGTTATACAGAACGCCAAAGCACGTGAAGATAAGGAACGAAAGAAAATCGGACACGCATCGAGTGAATTATGGACAGAGAGTCCACACTTTCTTTGGTGACCTTGAAGATATCGTGATTCTTGGAAATGGTATAGCAACATTATCTCGTACCTCCTTCCTGTCTCGTAGGTCGTTATCCAACGGCGCTTTGCCCCATGATATCCTCTCAGTTGTTCTATTACTCCAAAACGCCTTGCTGGGTGACGGTGATACGTTGGTACATGGCGAGTGACATGCTTGTGGGTATGCGCAAAGTCGGGATGAAACTCTCCACGTGTGAATGCGTAGGTAGTCCAGAATTGGTGTAGGAAGTTCGTGGAAGAGCAAAACATCTTTCGTGGACGCCTAACGACCGGTAGATGTAGGCAGTAGGGGCATTGCCTAGCGTATACGTCGACATGTATACGCTCCGACTGAAAACGGGCCTAGAAGGCTGTGTTACTTCAAGTCGCTTCTGTACTTGACTTTTCTGCTTCTGCTTCGGCGTTCTGCGTCTTTTCCTCACTCTTCTTTGCTTCGGGTTCTTGTTTTGGCTCCGCCTTGGATTCGGTTTTGGGCTGCACCACTGTCTTGCTGACCACGAGGCCGATAAGATGAGAGCCAACGTTACCGGCGCCGTCAATGGGTCCAAGCTTTGCATCGAACAGCTTCGCCTCGCGTAGCAATCTAGAAATCCGTTAGCCATTACACATACAACGGGTTCAACCTGATGACATACCGTGCTTTGCCACCAGGCGTCTTGACTGCTGCCTCTTTGATGACATTGCCAACCTCCTCCCTGTAACTCTCAAATACAGGACCCATTATCATACGGACTTGAATCTCGCTCAAGTACTTGTTGATAACCTTGTGCATGGTCACCGTGTCCTTGGTCAAGCTCTCCATACTAGGACTGACATCTTTGTTGACCTCGGCATCAGTATCCCACTCCACCTTTTTGAGACTGCGCATGTGGACTTTTGCTCTTCCAGATAAGATGCCCGTCAGTTTCTCATGGATCTGATTTTGCTGGTCATACAGTAGGCGCTTGACGTTGTCAAATTCACCAATAGAAGACTTGTTGGAAGCGGATGCGGTGCGCCGTCGGAAGCATTCGCGGATATAGGGTAGAATAGCGATAACGAATGATAATGTCTGAGAGGCAATGGCAAGATGTTTGGTGTTGATGTTCTTCAAGCCTGCAGACTGCATGGCGCCAGCGCCTAGGATCAATTGGCATAATCGTGAGTTGAAGAGTTTGATGTAGTCGCAAAGGGAAGTGGAGACTTCGGAAGTCATACTTGGCATGGCTGAAACAAGAATTTCGAAGCGCTCAATGCCACGCAGGACGACTGTCGATGATTCGGAGATTGTGTACTTTTCCTCATCGACAACGGCGGGAATTGTGGTCCTGTTCTTTTCCTTGGGCTTGTCTTCTGATGTGCCGTTGGTTTGCGCTGATGTGCCATTTGTAGTCGACCTTTCAATGTCTCGAAGGAGGTCACCAGTCTCTGCCCAGCTTGCAGGGTCGCTCTCCATGCCCTTCAACAAGCGTGCTAAGACCTCAGTATCCTGTGCATCGAAGTCCTTCGGTTCCCAACGATCCGAGTCCATCGCCTTTACAAGCTCTTGCTTCTCAAAATCGCCAAACTTGGACACAAAGTCATTGATATGAGTATTGACAACACCTTTGAGAGCGACACCAGAGCGTCCTGAGACAGCTTCGCACTCGTCGGCAAACAGCCTGCATATGTGGAAGTATCGTAAGAAGCGTTCCAGGGGAAGATTGGCTGTGGCCTCAGAGCGGACCTTGAGAAGCTTAGTGATCTGTGTCTGCGCTGCATCAACAGCCTGACCCAGGAGGCTCGACATGTCTAAGGCTTGCATCAGCTCCATCTGCAGGTCATTTGAACTCGGAGCTGGTACGCCGTTGCCCATGTAATCATCGATGCTGTGCATATATGGACTTCGTGGGGGAGATCGGAGCCCACCAGCAGAGGCGGGAGGGGTAGTAACGCCGCTGGTAACATCGAGAAGCACTTTGATCAGCGTACTGAGACGGCGTAGCGCTTCTCCAATGTCAGTGAAGATATTGGCGAAAAAGGCCTCTGCATCTTCAGGGTCCATGGCGCGTAGATTTCGAGCAAGAATAGAGTTTTTGTCTTGCTGACTAGTCCCTCGGCCACCTCTTGTGGATACAGAAGCCATAGATCCAGTATCATCCTCTGTTGAGCTCGGTAGGTGTTTCCGGATGATAACTTTCATCTCCTTGATCATCGCTTCTCTGAAAGTAGCACTAGCTTGATTCGTAAATTGCGCACCGCTCAAGCCATACAAGCTGGCTCGTAGCTCTGCACGTAGCTTTTTGTCGGTCGTCATATAGGCCGGCAAAGTCGTCTTCGGTTTTTGGTTGGATCCTCGTGCCTTTTGCGATGCAGCAGTCCATCGTTCCAGCGTATCGTGAGTCGGAACTCGTTTGACATGCTCTCGCAGATCCGTAAGTAAGGTGTCGACAAAGCGTACCTCGAAGCCCCTGCCCACACGGAACTTGAGCTCAGTGATGCTTTCGAATACGCCGTCTAGTGCTCTGAGGTGTCGTAGATCGACCAACTGCGGAGGTAATCGAGAATCCAGCCAAGATGTACCCTGAAAATCCGTCGTGTCCAGCGCGCCTGTGATTAGTCGTTCAATGACTTCTATCCGGGTCATGGCGGTCTCGAGACGACCATCAACAACGGCTTCGTCACAGTGTGACAACCCAACGATGACAGCTTGCAGCTGGTCAACCGAGTCGGTCAGCCTCCTCAAGTTCTCCCTGCGCCTCTTCATTTCAACGACCTTCAAGCCTCCTATTGCCATCTGTTCGTCCAGCCTCTTCAGATCCTCCCTAAGTCCTTTTATTCTTGCGACAGAATCCGATGCTTCCGTCTGAAGTTCGCGCAGAGAACCGAGTGCGGCGAAGAAGGAGGTCGATGCCGTAGATATGGCCGAGATCAAGTGCACCTCGACCGTGTCCATGTACCACGACAACTTCTCTTGTAGGATGGCGTTCGTAGCTAGGGCTTTTCTCCCAGGAGGTTGTGGCACGTCCAAGGAACCGTTTGCGCCATGGTCATCGCTGGTTGCTGTTCGGACTGGCCGAACCACCTCGGACCGCTCGCTTACTACGTCAAAGGTGCGCGGATTTTCGAGGTGAAAGTTGTCATCGAAGTAGATGTTCGGTATGGTGGAAAGGGGGGTAATAGCTGGTAGGGTGCGTTTGGATCCGCTCGTTCGACGCTTCGGTTTCGGCGGCCCGTTGGGAGTAAAGGGTGTTCCTGCCAAGTTGGGTGTCCCTGCTGGCGATTCAGTATCATCCTTCTTTGACCCTCTCCTTGCTGGCTGGGCGGCCTCGGCTTCGGCCTCGGCTTTTGCGCGCTGGAAAGCGTCGTACAGACTGCCGACTTGCGATAAGTAAGGATTGAATGCAGAAGGTTCGACGTGGGGTACGTTTGTGAGCGTCACAGGCGGTATGTCTTTGGTAGATGGCGGGCGGTGGCCCGAAGTGGCTGTAGCAGTGGTATGCGGGACCATGCCAGTCCTCATGATGGGCGGCGTGAGCAGCGTGGAGATGGCGTTGTTGCTCTGCTCTCTCACCGCGCCCATGGTGCTCTTGAAGCCACTGTCGAGCGAGCCACCGACCGAGTGTATCGAGGACGCCGTTGAGCCACGTCGCGGCTTGTAGCGCCCGCCTGTGGAGCTGGGCCTGTTGGTCCAGTCATGGCTTGAAGCAGGAAACGGGAAGGAGCCCTGGGGCGGGTTCGGCGACAGGAACTCGAAGCTCTCGGTCGATCTCCGTGGGCTATTGGGCGAGGACATGATGGCGGCGCAGGTCGGGGGTGGTGAATAGGCGGCGGCATGGGTGGACGGGGGGCAGATTTATCGCATGCTGGAGCAGATGTCGACTTGTATCAAGCTTGCATTCATCAATCAGGCAAAGAGAGACGAAAAGCGCATTACGCTGAATGTTGTGTCTCTCGTCATTGAATCTTGTCTCTAGCCAAAGTTCCACGCGCTCGGTCGGTGGTGACGGTGCTTGGGCCCTGCCTGACAAGGATCATGCAGCCGAAACACACCCGCCGCTATCTCCACCTGCCTTAGACCCTTATGTAAGCCACTGTCTTATCTGTCAACCATTACCTGACTCAACATGACAAGTTGAGATACATTGCCGTAAGACTGCTATGTAGTTGGTTAAGAAGAAATCTCGGCGGAGCAAGCAAGTATGATTGACCGGGCTTGGTCAGGGAGGAAGAGTGTCATCTTTTCACCGTCATCTAAGTAGGTAATCATCAAACATGTAGCCTTGGAGTGCATGTACTATAACACTAGAATAAGAGATAGCGGGAGTGGCGTGGTTGCAAGTAACCAACTACTGCACCGTCTCTTTCAGCTCTTATGCTCCTTGTCCTGAGATGCTGTATGTACCTGCACTTTTACACCTTTCCTCGTATACATGTGGATGGTTCCCTCCTGCGAGTCATGATCAAACCCGCCTAAGTGGCGTTTACCTCCAGGAGACTGTAGTGGAGCCAGCGCCTTTCTACGCTTTGCATCGGGTGGACTAATTTTCAACATGAAGCTGGATCGCTTGTTTATGGTCGACAAAGCCGATGTCACACTGGACTTGTGCAATGAAAGGCCGTCGGATTCGGACGCTGTTGATATTGGTGCTGAGAGATTCGAGACACCTAGACGCTCTGATTTGTCCTCTCGTACGAGAACGCGCAGTTCACGAGAGGCTCGTGTACCTTTACCTTGGGTACTACCATCAGCAGAACCATGGGAAGTAGAAACCGAAGTGTAGATATATTCTTGTGTTTCCTGAACTATGGTTCTTTTAGACGCCAATTGGCTAATGGTCCGCGTGATAGTCGGACGGGGCGATACTGGTGAGGAGCGGGGAGTCGTCTGCTGCGTGGTGTCATCGGTCTTCATTGTTGACTGCGATCCGCCCATTTCTTTAATGTACTTCTTGGCCAACAAAGCAATGTCACGAGTATGGCCATCAAGCTTGTCAGCATCGGGAAGCTCCCACTTCTCCTTGGCCATACGCTCCAGGTCCTCCAAAGAAACAGCATCTTCCCAAGTTCTGTCATGGTGGATCTTCTTGACTCTAGGGTGTCTTAACATCTCAAACCCTTCGTTCTGAAGTTTCTCAAACCCACCGCCGAGGACCTCAGCTACGAAAGGTCTCTTGAACACGGTAGTCATACGTCTTCCATAACCTTTGGGATATTGAATGCCGAACTCAGCTGTTGAGCCGTCACCTTGTAGGACAGACTGACGAACATAGCCTTGGATGTTCATGTACTTGACGTCAGACTTTGGTATGCACTTGTCGAGACTAAGGCTCGCTACGACCATGAACTTTGGCTTTGCACCCGTACGCTCCACCGCATCCTTGTTCAGACAGCACCCAAGATGAAAGTGCGTCCAATGCAAGGGTTTGATATTGGTTTTTGGCGCGGTTTGCGCATCGAAGTCAGCTCCGACAACAGCAAAGTCGCCCAAATCGCGCTCACCACCCATGTCAGCCAAGTAGTCCTTCTCCAATTTGATGAAGAAACCTGCTTGATGATGCCCCTGCTCTGACAACAGTGGGAAGTACGGTGCATGCAACGGTTTGAGAATGAGTCCTTCTTGGCGTTCGGCCAGGTTCCGGGCGAATATCTGTTTAAGGTCTGTTATGCCATCCCCTGTCTTATCCTGGCAGAAATCCAATAGGGTCCACTCCGATCGCATTGACCGACCGGGCACTACATGGACAAGGCCTCGGAGAATCTTGCGGCGGTCTTGCAGACCGTGACGTAGGGTCAATTCGTCATCCAATACAAGGACGTCGAAAAATACGATCATGAGGTGTTCCCACTCGTGAGGCAGGGAATCTTGGAGTGTGCCAATGAAACAACCGGAGCGCGATATGTGCTTTCGGAGCTTCGAAAAAGCCATGATTCTTCTTTCTCGGTCACTGTAGAGAACCATCTCGCCAAGAACGATGCACTTCTTTTTCAACTTGCAATCTGGTCGTCCGATGCGTAGAGCTTCGTTAATGGTAGCATGTAGAGGCCTTCGGTCCGCTGTTGCATCTTTCCCATTTTTAGAATAGATTTGAATATGATTGGGCACACGATCCAGGTCTATGTGTATCTCGCAGTACTCGCCATCGTACTTGACTTCGGCAGCCCAAGCTCGTTGACCCACCAACTGAATACAGTGCTTCAAAGACCAAGCTTTATGGAACGTTGGCCGCCCCACCTTGATTCCAACAATAGCTCTCAGTTTCTGCGCCGCCTCAAGACGCATATACTGCTGCTTTGAAGGTTCTGGTACTGGGGGGTAGCAGCTCAGTTCGCACCTGAGCATTTTGAAAACGGCGTCGAAGTCGTTTTGGAACATCAACAACTCCGGTAGTAAGAAGTGGTAGCGTTCCAGAACGAAATTTTCTTCAAGTCCAACAATGCAGTGATCTCGTAAAATAAGACGAACAAACCATTTTGCTTCCCAAGACTCAAGCCTCACAAGTATGTCCTTGAGCTCCATGTCTACTTTGACATCCGAATGACGCTTTTTTCGGATGGCCTCATCAGAGAACCGGCACCTCGCCGCTAATTGTACGAGGAGATTGTCGATCTGTTCGATTGGCAACGCACGTTTACTATTGAAAGTGCCATCCCATGGCCTCATTGCTCTTTCGACGTAAGCACCGAGGTCTCCATGAACACCTGTTTTCCAGCCATCGAAAAGTGCACGTTGACTATGATTGAAGCCAAGTAGCTTGAGAATTTTCTTTGCCAGTAAGGGCGGCTGCAGGCCGTAGACTCGGTCTTTCCTTCGATGTGGAAAGAGAGCTGATAACACAGCACTGCTATTCGTCGTAGGGTCATCGAGAGCATCTCTCTGACTAACGAACCAGTTCGAGATTATCTCGCGTATATTACTCTTCTCTTGATTTGTAGGTAAACGTGGTTGCTGTGTCGTGGCAATCTCGATATTTTGCAGGAGGCTACAGATTGCGCCGAAAGTAACGGTCATGGTTGGATACCGATGTACGGAAGCGTAAAATATCGTGATAGGCCGCAGGTGTTTATGTTTCCAACGTTGATCCGGTAAATACAAGACGTGAACCCTTCGAGGTAATAGCGAATAAAGCGCTTGCGTCCGGGTGCACTTGACCAAGATCGCGTATAGGTAATCTGCCACTGCTCTCAAGTACCAACGCGCTCGACATTCGCGCGCATGAGATAGCAGTGTGGAAATATGGTATGTGCAGCTGCGTACTTAACTGTAGTTGCATGCGCATCTTCATAGGCCTCAATATCGTGATCATAACCGCACAAATGTTGCCGCTGACACGGGTGACGCCGGGCGGACAATCAAAAGTGGAAAGGAAAGTCAAATCGTAGGGTTGAGATTCTAGATCTGTCATAATATTGATAAGAATAGCAATGGAATCATTGTTGTTGAACGAAAAAAAAAGCGTTGAAAGCGTCTCAACAGTAAAGGTAGGACGTATGTAGGGGCATCTGGGAACGCGCTTTGACTGACGCGCTAATGCAAGTCGTCACGGGAACACGCGAGGACCAGGCTTGAACCAGACAGCAACGGAGTACGTCCCATGTGCCTCGGGCTAACAGTACTTATTTGTTCAAGCGGATCATGGCTGTGTATTGTCGTATCATATAGGCCTTGAGTAGCCAATATTCAGAATGAAGGGTCAATGATGTTCTGATCGTGTAGCCAACGGCATTTCCAAGGTGGGTGAAGCCGAGCGAACGGCTAGCGTGTACGTCATGATCCGTCGTATGATCCTCCACCAAAGCCGTTAATCAGCCTCGCGCTTTCAAGTGCCCGAGCGCACTTGAGTAGCCCGAAGAGAAACTGTACATATAGCTGGCGCTATAGTGAAGTGTCTCGATACCACTTACTGCGATAGTCTAGACGAGGTAACCCCACTCTACCCGAGCTCTCTCGACGACTGTACTGACAGCGACAGTGATTCACAATGGCGCCGGGTCAAGGCCAGAAAGGGAACCCGAACGACCCTCGGTCGGACGCATCAAAGAAGAAGGATCTCATCGCGCGTGGTGACTACACACCTACACCACTAGGCAAAGCGACGTTCTTCATCCTGCGCGGCATCGAGCCTGTCCTCCAATATTCAATCCTCGCACATGGCCTAGGCACCTCCGTCCTGCATCGTGTAGGTTTGCGAACATTGCCTCCTGGGCTTCCAACGCATACCGGCATCTCTCTGATTGATGGCTTGGGCTTGTCACCATACCGATTGGTGTTGCTTGGAATGGCGGTTGGCGCCGCTGTGAAGCAGAACATCTGGGTGACGGCGCTCTCTGGAGAGCCCATGCCAGTTACAGGTGCCATCGCCGTAGGTGTCTTTAATGCTGTATTCAACAGTCTGAGCACCTACGCTTTCCTTACCACTGCTACTTCTGCCTCGACCGAAGCCGACTTCCCGCAGCCAGCGCTCCTCATTGGCGGCTCGCTATACGTCGTGGGTATTATGACTGAGTTGATTGCCGAAGTACAGCGCAAGCGCTTCAAGGCGAATCCAGACAACAAGGGCAAGGCGTACACTGGAGGTCTCTGGAGCTTCGCCCGCCACATTAACTACGGCGGCTACACAATCTGGAGGGCGGGTTACGCCATGGTCGGTGGCGGCTACACACTGGGTGCGTTGGTAGGATCCTTCTTCGCCTGGGACTTTACCCAGCGAGCGATTCCAATTCTTAGTGAATATTGCGAGAAGCGCTACGGAGCGCAGTGGGATGAGTTCAAGCAGAAGACCCCATATCAGCTGA